CCCCGCGAACCACCGTAGGCTTAAAAAGCGGGAGGTAGGGGACACGAGAAGAGAGGGATGAGTTACTACTCTGCCGGGGTAATAAAGGGATGGTGGTAAGGGGATGCCCCTTGCTCCCCCAACCCACGCGGACCATTTTCACTTCCACAGGACACGTAAAGGTTAATCTGGGCACATCCACAGAGGAAGAACTGCCAATAAAGAAGTCAAGGTAAGGGGCCGAAAGTGAGGAGAGCCAAGTGCAAGCAGAGAAGGCGCCCGGGTGGAGGAGGAGAATGAATGCGACCGCAAAAGGCACCGCGGCCCAGGTGGACCCCTGGAACCAGCAGTGGCCTCCTAGGGGAAGAGCCATCAGCCAAGGCCGAGTCTCAGCCACTTAGGTGAGGGGCTGCACCCTGTCCAGAGACAGGCCTGTTTTGCCACGCTCTAGGACCCAAATGAGGAGTGGGAGGCCAAACACAAAGGGGCAAGGAGGAAGAAAAGGGAACAAGGAAGGGCGTCAAGTCGGGCCCACTGAGCCTCCCTGCGCAGACATTCGCCGTGTGCGAGTGTGGGTGCCTGCCCAGACGGGTCTACCTGAATGAAGCCGTGTACGCATGGATGCCCGTGTGCGCGCGTGCGTGCGTGCGTGTGTGTGTACGCACACACAACCCACGCGGTGTGTATGCACCTGCGTGCCTGCCTCTGTATGTGTTGGGTGGTGGTGGTGTGAGTGTGGGGGCGGGGGGGGGGGGCGCGGTTGTCTGTGTGGATGATGGGGTCTAGGTATGTGCCCGGGGTCGTGAAGGTAAGCATAGGCAGGACTACAGGGAAACGTGTGGAGGGTTGCGTCCAGATGGGAGAAAACAGTGATGACCCCAGACGCTGCAGAGTGGGGATTCCAGCACTTGTTGGTCCTGATCCCGGCCCTTCTTTCTCCCTGCCTTTCTCCCAATAAGTTGTGCTGTGGTTGCGCCCTGCCCTTTAATATCTGGGAAAGATCCACCTTAGGACCTCCTTGGCAGGACGGTGGGGCCTTTTAAACGTGTTTGTGGGTTGTTTTCGGTGTGTTTCCTTTTTCTCACCAGTTTCAAATGTTCGCCTGTATTCCTGGAGTGCTTGGCGTGGAAGAGTGTCCCCAACCGTGACTCCTCCATTCTCAGAGTCCTTAAGATACTACCCAGTGTTGGAGTGTTGGAATTCCCTGCCGGGCGGGTGTGGATTTTCCCTCCTCTGGAGCTCCCATGAGCCTGGAGCTCCCATGAGAAGGCTTTTCCAAAAGGCCAGGAAGGGAGCCACTTGGGAAACTGTAAAAAGCCTCACGATCACGTTGTCCCGGCACTGGGTGGCATGGCTATGAGGGTAGGACCTTAAACAATCACACCCAGGTGACCACTGCTTTGCTTTGCCTCCCAACCTGCTCTTGTATTAAAGGCCCTTATCCGTGGTTTGGGGGCATCTGCCTGGAAACGCGGCACTGCATTAAGGCGTTCAGTGGTTCCTCGGAAGCGCGGGGCGTCGGTAGGTAGAGGGACCCGCAAACCCCCCACAGCTCCTTCCTTCTGCCCCCGCCCCCCGCCCCCCACCCCCGGGCTCCCGGCCCCCGGCCCCCGGCCCCGCAGCTCATTCCTTTTCCAGGGGGATTAGTTGGCCTGGCAAGCATCAGTCACGGGTTGGGTTGAAAATCAGAGACAGCTACATACCAAACCAAGTCCCCAACCCTCCTTCTGCCACAGGCCCCTCCAAACCCCAACGCCCCCTCCCCCCCGGCACCCCCACCTCCACCTTCACCGGCCTCCTAACCTCCAGCCCCTGCCCAAGGGTAAACATTCCCAGGGGCCCTGGACGAAAACTGAGCAAGTCTTATGGAAGAGCTCCCTGTGCAGAACTGATGCCAGGGAAGCCTGGCCACCAACGCCAGGGGGCCAGAAAGACCACGACGCGACCTTGTGAACAGAGGCATGGTAGGAAGGATACACCGAGCCCCACAGGAGATGCCAAGTGGCCTTCCGGGAGCCCCACCTCCGTAACCCATCCCACTTCTGAAAAGGCCCACCCCTGGGCACAAACCGGTGCCCGGGGTTCCGTGGAGGGCGGTAGCCCGTGGCCCTCGGAGCCTGGTGACACTTGGCAGGACCCCGTGCTGCAGGACGGGTCAACGGGCTCTGGACCCCTGTGGGACCTGGCTGCCCTCTGGTCCAATCCTTGGCCCACTGAACCATGAGGCTTCGCGAGAAGGGAGTTGGCTGCCAAGGGACAGGCGCGGTGCAGACAAACAAGAGGCCAGAGGGAGTCTGAAGAGTCAAAGTCAAAGAAAAATCCGCAAGCCCACCTGTGGGATCTCTTGAGGGTCGTCTGTGTTCACAGGGAACCGAAGAGGATGGACAGAGTCAAGAAAAGCCCAGCGAAGAATCGGTAGCACAAGAAACAACAGGTGTTGGCGAGGATGTGGAGGGAAAGGAACACTCCCGCGCTGTTGGTGGGAACGCAAACTGGGAACGCAGCCACAGTGGGAAACAGTATGGAGCTTCCTCGGAAAGGTCAAAATAGAAGTACCCCTTGCTCCAGCAATCGCACTACTGGATATTTGCCCGAAGAATACAAGAACACCAATTCAAAGGGATACTTGCACCCCCATGATTACAGCAGTATTATAAGAATAGCCAAGATAGGGGAGCAGCCCAAGTGTCCATCGGATTGACACGTGGACAAAGAAGATGGGGTACATACGTGTGCGCGCCCGCGCGCACACACACACAAACCCACAGAGGAATGTTATTCGGCCATGAAAAGGGAATGAAATCTTGCCATTCGCAAGGACAGGGATAGAGCCAGGGAGTCTATCGCTAGGCCAAATGAGTCAGTCCGAGAAAGACAAATGGCATATGATTTCACTCATATGTGGAATTCAAGAAAACAAAAGAGAGGAACAGAGAGAGAGAGAGAGCTCAACAAAGAGAGGCTCAATCAGAGAGAACTGAGGGTCACCAGAGGGCTGGAGGTGGGGGGTGGGGGTGGGGGCGTTGGATGAAAGAGGTGATGGGGATGAGGGAGTCCACTTGTCCTGATGAGCACCAGGTGACCAAGCAAGTGTTGAATCACTATACTGGACACCCGAAAGTAATATAACACCGCATGTTAACTAACCGGAATTAAACGAAAACCTTGGAGCAAGAGCAAGAGCAAAAGCAAAAGCAGAAGCAAGAGCAAGAGCAAGAGCAAGAGCAAGAGCAAAAGCAAAAGCAAAAGCAAAAGCAAAGCCTAGTTACTCTTCTTGCAGCTTTGCCCCGAAGTGGTCAAGTTGGCCAGGAGCCCAGCCGGAGTTGAGATGGCTGCTCTGTGGCTTGGAGGAGCAGGGGGAGGACGGCGAGGGGGAGGAGAGGAGGAGGCAGAGGCTGGAGGAGGAGGAGGATGGCTGATTTTTGCTGTTGTTGTTGCTGTTCCCCAGTCTGGGCCTGGCAGCAAATGCAGGGAGAGGAAGGCTCAGTGGGGGCAGGGAAAGGGGTGACTGCCATTTCTGGAGCCACAGTGCCATCCAGCGGAAACTGTCTCTGCAAAGCCCAGGCAACAGCAACCTACCTTCTGCCAGGCACAGGGGTCAGCAAGGATGCGCTGGCTTGTCTGGGCTCTGCCCAAGCCAGGGTTTCCCCCATCGGGGCTCAGAGGCCTAGGGGGAAGTGTGCCTGACGGTGGGACCCAGCAGGAGCTCTAGGGGCCCTGGGGACACAACAGGCAGCCCCAAGCCCAAACACCCCAGGGGGGGCGGTGCTTCCCTGTCAGCCATTTTGGGCTGGGCCCAGGGGAGGCAACTCACCACTGTCTGCAGGGACCCCAGGGGGGCGGCGCTTCCCTGTCAGCCATTTGGGGCTGGGCCCAGGGCAAGCAACTCACCACTGTCTGCAGGGACCCAGGGGGACATTTCCTGTAGTGTCCTTTCTGGGGAATAGCGGGGTGCCCTGCCTGGGGCCACGCGGGGGTTCAGGAGGCCCCTTTCCTCACTGGGAGCGGAGGCGTTTAGAGGTTCTGGGGCCCGGGCCATTGGCGCTTGGCGGTCCCAGGAAACTCCTGCGGTCAGCCATCTCAGGCTGCCCCTCGGGTTTCTGAGTGACTTCCTCAGCTCCAATCTGGGACCCAGCACACAGGTGACGAGAGGGCCGGGAGCCAGGTGTCCAGGTGCACGCGCGGGACCCACAGCTTCCCTCTTTCCCCCACCGCCAGCGCCCCCCCCCGCCCCCCCACTCCCACAAGCCTTCTCCTTCCTGCTCCTGGGCACACCTCAGCTGGCGAGCCCAGGCAGCTCCCTCGGACAGAAACAATTTCCGCTTGATGGCAGTATGGCTCCACGAATGCCAACTGAATCCATACCCTGCCCCCTCAGCCTTCACCCCCACCGCCTCAGATCTTGGGCCTCAGCACCTTCTAAGGTAAAAACAAACAAACAAAATCAACCACAACCGCAACCAACCCCCACACACCCCCCACAACCCCGCCCCCCCCACAAAAGCCAAAAGTGGAAAGCAAAAAGAAAAAGTAAAACCAAAACAAACACCCAGCACCACCCACCTGCCCACCCCCACTACCATCCCCCCCGAAACGAAAAACGCGCGCGCGCGCTCACACAAACACACACACACACACACACACACACACACACACACCACCCTCTGTCAGGTGTCAAGAAACACCACCACCACCACCAGACACCATAAACCTGGAATGAAGAACAAGAGAAAGAGAAACAAACGAGCCAGGGGGACCCAAGTTGAGCACCAAATTAAATACACAGGGCCAAATGACCACCTACCAGGAGGCCAGACACCCTGCGGGCCTTTCCCCTTCCTTTTGTCCTACCCCATTTTTCTGGGCTCCTGCTCTTGGGAGAAATAAGGGGCAACGGACACATGAAGCCGCCTCTGTGACTCTGCCTGAGGGTTTACATGAATAGGACCTCTCCTGGACAAGCTGGCGGCCACCATGCTGGCTTGCAAGTCACTTGTGTGTTTCCTCCCAAGGCCTGGAGCTACAGGCTGAGGTCACCACCACCTTGGGCTGACCCGACCAAGCAGCCAGAAATGGCTGGCCCGACCTGCAGCCACAGGGCTACAACCAGGAGGCTCCCCGGAAAGGGGAACCAAGCACTCACACAAGCACCCACTCTGGGCGGGCAGGCAGCCCTTGCTCTCACACAGGGGCCTTGGCAAGGCCACCACACATCTCCGAGTCACGAGTCACGGGGCCCCACTCAGGGCCACCTCCTGTGGAGGACGGACGGCCACTGACTCTCCTCCAGTGTGGGAGTCCCCATCTATCTGGGTCAACAGGCCAGGCTCCAGGTTCACAGCCCTTGCTGGAGCAGGTCTTTTCAGAGATGTGTTTTGTATGCTATACATAAGTATCATTTGTTTTTGCTTTATTTCTGACTTAGAAGATATATTTATATATTTTACTTTCGTTGCTGAATCATTTATAGTAGACATAGTATGTTTGCAGTTCTGTAGTTTTAATGACTTTTTTTTTTAAAGATTTTATTTTTTTATTTGATAGAGAGACAGCAAGAGAGGGAACACAAGTAGGGGGAGTGGGTGAGGGAGAAGCAGGCCTCCCGCCGAGTAGGGAGCCCGATGTGGGACTCGATCCCAGGACCGTGGGATCATGACCTGAGCCAAAGGCAAAAGCTTAACGACTGAGCCACCCAGGCGCCCTTAATGACTTTTTGAATAGAGTTTTTGAGTTTGGTTTGTATATGTTATAATTCGATTTTTCTGTTTATGTTCTAATTGGGTATAGAGATCTTGTGTTTATTTGTTCAATGAGCATGTATATGTGGTTGACCATGGTTTGTTTTGAAAACATTTTGTTTTCTTCTCTAGTAAGCATTTGATTTATAGTAATCCTAAATCAGGTAACTTTTTTCCTCTTTTTTATCCCATCTTATGTCTTGTTTTCTGTAGATAGATTCAAAAGAAAAATGATAAATTATCATGGATATTCCTTCTAACATTAAAATAGCGCTAGTGTGTTAGGTAGAAATCTGAGTACGTATCAAATATAAATGATACCTGTGTCTCAAAGATGTATGTGTTTTCTCAATTTCTTTGTTTTATTTTTCATAGTAGCCCAATTTTGCAAAGAACCCACATGTCAATGGATAGAATGAAAAATTATGTTATATGTATTTAAGAGAATATTATGCAACTTATTGAAAAATAGTGTGAGTTTCAATAAGACGATGAATTTGGCGTATAAAATTTTTATTGAAATATGACACACAGTGAAAGGCAAATACTGCACAATTTCATTTATAATTTCAACAAGTCATACAGCAGAGCATGGAATGGTGATTGCTAGATTCTTGCAGTTTCGGAAATGGCAAGATGTTCACTGGCTCCAAGTTTTTAAATAAGTTCTGTAAGGTCTAGAGGTCTAATAGGGTGTACTCTGACTCTAGTTACTAATAGTGAAATAGTTACTTGAAAACTTACATAAGTAACATATTTTAGAATTTTCTAAAACTGTTTATATAATTGTCAGTAAATGAACAAGGAAAAAATGTTACTATGTGAAGTGATGATTTTGTTAATTAGCATGTTTGTAATAATCATTTCACAATGTTTACAAATGTCACTTGTACACTTTAAATATATGTAATTTTGTCCAAATAATGAAAAAATTTGGAAAAATAAAAATGAATGCAACATGAAATATAATGTATTTTATGTGGACACGCAAGAGTAATGTCAAGAATTTTTAGCAAATTCCATCCAATATTTCATCATCATTATTTTCTCATACTACCCATGTGTGAGAAAGCCATTCCTAAGAAAAATTGGTATCATTTACATTTAAAGTAATAGTCAATTTAATAAGGGTCACTGAGAAAATGTCTATTAAGTTTTACTTCCCTAGCACTTGTTCTTGTCTAAAGGCATTCCAGATCCTTTTTAAAATTGAATATTTATATTTTCTCTTTTCTAGTAATCTGTTGTTTTCCTTCATGAAGCCTGTTAATGTGTTGTTGGTTTCCATATCACTGAGGTTATTTTTGACATATTTTAACACTTAAAAAAATACAACAGAAATTTGTTTCTCATAGTATGTAGGCTGGCTAGAAGTCCAACATGAAGGTGTTGGCAGGTTTGAGTTCTTCTGAGACCTTAATCCTTGGCATGCAGATTCGTGATGGGTGATTTCCTAAGTCCTCCGATGGCCTTTTCTCTGTGTATACACACCTGTGTTGTCTCTTTGTGTTTACAAATTTCACTTTTTAAAAATTTTCCTTTATTTTTTATTTTTTAAAAAGATTTTATTCATTTATTTGACAGAGAGAGCACAAGTAGGCAGAGTGGTAGGCAGAGGGAGAGGGAGAAGCAGGCTCTCCGCTGAGCAAAGAGCTGGATGCAGAGCTCGAGCCTATGACCCTGTGAGCATGACCTGAGCCAAAGGTAGAAGCTTAACTGACTAAGCCACCCAGGCGCCTCTATTTTCCTTTATGAAAATATAGCTGACATACATTATATTAGTTTCAAGTGCACAACATATTCAACAGTTGTATACATTACATAATGCTAACCATGATAAGTGTAGTTACCATCTGTCAACAAGTAATGTTATTACAATATTGATAACTATAGTTACTATGCTGTACTTTTTTTATCCCTGTAACTTATTTATAACTGCAAGTCTGTAACTTTTAATGCCCTACAGCTGTTGTGTTCATCCACCAATCCCCTTCCATCAGTTCTATGTATTTATGTGTATCTGCTTTTGTTTGTCCATTTGTTTTTGTTTTTTACATTCTACACAGAAGTGAAATCATATGGCGTTTGTCTGTCTTAATTACTGTACTACCCTATAGGTCCATCCATGTTTTTGTAAATGGCAAGATGCCATTCATTTTATGGCTAAGTCATATTCCATTGTATATATGTACACCCCACTCTTTATAGTTCATGTATTGGTGGTGTAGCCCAGGTTGCTGACATAAGTTGGCTATCATACGTTGCACTGTGATAACGTAGGAATGCATATATGTTTTCAAATTAGTGTTATTGTTTTATTTGAACCAACAGCCAGCACTGAAATTACTGGATCATATGGTGTTTCAATTTTTAATTTTTTAAGCATCTTCCATACTGTTTTCCACAGTGGTTCGTTCGGTCAATTTACATTCCAACAGTGCATGAGGGTCCCCTTTCTCCACATCCTTACCAACAGTTATTTCTTTTTTTTTTATTCTATTTTTTCTAATGGGTGAGAGTTAATCTCTTATCTTGGCTTTGATTTGCAAGTCCCTGATGGTTTGTGATGTTGAGCAACTTTTCATGTGACTGTTGGCCATCTGTATGTCTTCTTTAAAAGACTATGTCTATTTAATCCTTTGCCCATTAAAAAAAATCTGGTTATTTTTTAGTGATTTTGGATATTATTCCCTTATCAGATAATATCATTTGAAAATATCTTCTCCCATTCAATAGGTTCACTTTTTGTTTTGTTCATAACTTTCTTTACTGTGCAAAAGCTTCTTATTTTGGTGTAGTCCCAATAGTTTATATTTGTTTTTGTTTCCCTTGCCAGAGGAGACACATCCATAAATATTTTGCCAAGGCTGATGTCAAACAGATTACTGCCTCTGTTTTCTTTGAAGATATTTATGATTTCAACTCCCACATGTTGGTCTTTAATCCATTTTGTTTAATTTTGTATATGGTATAATAAGGTGATCCAGTTTCATTACTATGCATGCAGCTGTCCAGTTTTCCAATAGCATTTGTTGTAGAGACTATTTCCCCATTGTATATTCATGCCTCTATTAAAATAGGTTAATTTAATGCATGAGTGATTTTATTTCTGGATTCCATATCCTTTTATTTTCTTAAGGATTTTATTTATTTGAGAGAGAGAGAGAGCACAAATAGGAGGGAGGGGCAGAGGGAGAGGGAGAAGCAGACTCCTCACTGAGCAGGGAGCCTGATACAGGGCTCCATCCCAGGACCCTGAGATCATGACCTGAGCTGAAGGCAGACGCTTAACCAACTGAGCCACCCAGGTGCCCCTTCCTGTCCTTTTCAATTGATCTATATGTCTATTCTTATGCCGGTACCATAGTATTTTGATTACAATAGCTTTTTAGTGTATCTTGGAATCTGGGATTGTCATACCTCAACCTTTTTTCTTCTTCAAGATTGCTTTGGTTAAAACTGTGGAAAGAGCCGAGATGCCCTTTAACAGAATGGATAAAGAAGATGTGATCTATATATACAATGGAATATTACTCAGCCATCAGAAAAGATGAATACCCAACTTTTGCATCAACATGGATGGGACTGGAGGAGATTATGCTAAGTGAAATAAGTCAAGCAGAGAAAGTCAATTATCATATGGGTTCACTTATTTGTGGAACGTAAGGAATAGCATGGAGGCCATTAAGAGAAGGAAGGGAAAAACGAGGGGGGGGAAATCAGGGGGAGACGAACCATGAGAGACTATGGACTCCAGGAAACAAACTGAGAGTTTTAGAGGGGATGGGGGTGGGGGGGATGGGTGAGCCCAGTGATGGGTATTAAGGAGGGCACGTATTGCATGGAGCACTGGGTGTTCTACGAAAACAATGAATCATGGAACACTACATCAAAAACTAATGATGTACTTTATGGTGACTAACATAACATAATAAAAAAATAAGAAAAAAAAAAGATTGTTTTGGCTATTCAAAGTCTTTTGTGGTTCCATGCAAATTTTAGTATTATTTGTTCTAGTTCTGTGAAAAATGCCATTGTTATATTTCACTGAAACTCTAGACTGCTTTGAGTAGTATAAACATTTTAATACCTTTAATTCTTCCAATCCATGAACATTGGATAGCTTTTCATTTATTTATGTTGTCCTCAATTGTTTTCATCAGTATCTTAGTTTTTATAATATATGTTTTTTACCTCCATGGTTAAATTTATTCCTAGGAATATTACTCTTCTTGGTGCAACTGTAAATGGGATTGTTTTAATTTGTCTTTCTGCTAGTTCTGCATTATTAATGTCTAAAAACACAATAGGGGCGCCTGGGTGGCTCAGTCAGTTAAGCATCTGACTCTTGATTTCACCTCAGGTCATGTTCTCAGGGTCATGGGATTGAGCCCCACGTTGGGATCCACCCTCAGGAGGGAGTCGGCATGAGGATTCTCTCCCTCTCCCCCATCCATGCCCCACAAAAAAACTAAATCTTTAAAAATACAATAGATTACAGTATATCAATTTTATATTCTGAAAATTCACTGAACTTTTTTATCGGTTTTAATCCTTTTTTTGTGAAGTCTTTAGGGTTTTCATTATATAGTATCAAGTCTTCTGCAAATAGTGACAGTTTGACTTCTTACTTAGCAAACTGGATGACTTTAATTTCTTATTTTTGTCACTTTTTTTTATCATTGTAAGTGTACTCTTTAATACCCATATTTCACCCATCCTCCCACACAACATATCACACTTTTTGTTTTGTTTCAAATTTTTATTTAAATTCCAGTTAGTTAACAGAGTTTAATATTAGTTTCAGGTTTAGAATTTAGTGATTCATCACTTAAAACACCTGGTGCTCATCACAAGTGTCCTTCTTAATACCCATCATCCATTTAACCCATTCCCTGTTGAACTCCTCTTCAGCAACCCTTACTTTGTTCTCTTAAGTGCCTGTTTTATGGTCTGTCTCTCTCTTTTACTCCCCCTATGTTCATTTGTTTCTTAAATTCCACATATGAGTGAAATCATATGGTATTTGTCTTTCCCTGACTGACTCATTTGGCTTAACATTATATTGTCTAGCTCTATCCATGTCCTTACAAATGGAAAATTTCATTCTTATGGCTGTATAATATTTCATCATATATATACACCATTTCTTCTTTATCCATTCATAAATTGATGGACACCTGAGCAGCTTCCATATATTGGCTATTGGAAATAATGCTACTCTAAACACAGAGGTGCATGTATCCCTTTGAATTAGTAGATGTGTATTAATTGTATAAATCCCCAGTAGTTAGATTGCTGGCTCATAAGTAGTTCTATTTTTGACTTTTTGAGAACACTATTTTCCAAACTCTCTATACCACCACCAATGCACAAGTGTTCCCTTTCCTCTACATCCTTGCTAAAATCTGTTGTTTCTTGTTTTTAGCTATTCTGACAGGTGTGAGGTGATATCTCATTGTGCTTTTAATTTTATTAACCTGATGATAAGTGATGATGAGCATCTTTTCATGTGTCTGTTAGCCACCTAGATGTTTTCTTTGTGAAGAAATGTCTGTTGATGTCTTCTGCCCATTTGTAATTGGACTATTTTGGGGGAGGTTGGTGTTGAACAGTATCATCTCTTTATATATTTTGGATATTGCCCCTTTATCAGATATTTCATTTGCAAATATTTTACCCCATTCAACAGGCTGACTTTTAGTTTTGTTGGTTGATTCCTTAGCTGTGTTTTTTATTTTGAGGTAGTCCCAATAGTTTATTTCCTTTTTTTCCCCTTCCCCTCAGAAGACAAAGAGAAGGATGCTGCTGTGACTAATGTCAGAGAAACTACTGTGTCCTCTTTTAGGACTGTTATGGTTTCAGGTCTCATATTTAAGTCCTCAATACATTTTAAGTTGATTTTGGTTTATGGTGTAAGAGAATGGCTCAGTTTCATTATTTTGCATGCACCTATCCAGTATTCCCAACACCATTTGTTAAAGAGACTATCTTCTTCCTATTGCATATTCTTGCCTCCTTTATTGAAATTTAATCAACCAGGGTGCCTGGGTGGCTGAGTCGGTTAAGTGTCTGTCTTTGGCTTAGGTCATGATCTTGGGATCCTGGGATCGAGCCCCATGTCAGGCTCCCTGCTCAGCAGGGAGTCTGCTTCTCCCTCTCCTTTGCCCCTCCCTCCCACTCCTGTGTTCTCTCTCTCTAATAAATAAATAAAATATTTTTAATAATTAAAAAATAAATATGAAATTTAATCACCATGTAATTGTCAGTTTATTTCTGGGCTTTCTATTCTTTTCTATTGATCTATGTCTCTATTTTTGTGCCACTACCATACTGCTTTGATTTTACAGCTTTGTAATATAACTTGAAATGTGGAATTGTGATACCTCTAGTGTTTTTTCGTTTTCAAGATTGCTTTGGCTATTCCAGTTATTTTGTGTTTCCATACAAATTTTAGGATTGTCTGTTATTTTTCTGTGAAAAACATTGCTGGTATTTTGATAAGGAGTACATTAAATGTGTAGACTGCTTTGGGTAGTATAGACATTTTAACAGTATTTGTTCTTCCAATCCATAAGCACGGAATGTCTTTCCATTTCTTTGTGTCATAGTCAATTTCTTTCATTAGAGTTTCATAGTTTTCAGTGTACAGGTCTTTCACCTCTTTGGTTAATTATATTCTTAGGTATTTTATTATTTTTGGTGCAATTATAAATGAGATTGTTTTGTTAATTTCTCTATCTGCTGCTTTATTATTAGTGTCTAGAAATGTAATAGGTTTCTGCACAATGATTTTGTATCCTGCAACTTTACTGAATTCATTTATCAATTCTAATAGTTTTGTGGTGGAGTCCTTGGGTTTTTTTTATATAGAGTATTGTATCATCTGCAAATAGTGAAAGTGTTACTATTCCCTTACCGATTTGGATGCCTTTTCTTTCCTTTTGTTTTCTGATTGCTGTGGTAAGACTGGACATCCTTGTCTTGTTCCTGACCTTAAAGGAAAAGCTCTCGGTTTTTCCCAATTGACTATGATGTTAGCTCTGTGTTTTTCATATATATCCCTGATTATGTTGAGGTATGTTCCCTCTAAACCTACTTTGTTGAGGTACTCGTCATGAATGGATCTTGTACTTTCTCTAATGCTTTTTCTGCATCTCTTGAAATGACTCATTTTTATCCTTGTTCTTACTGATAGGATGCATAACGTTGATTGATTTGCAAATATTGAACCACCCTCCCAGAAATACATCCCACTTGATCATCTTGAATGATTTTATTTCTAATGAATTGTTGGATTTGGTTTGCTAGTATTTTATTGAGAATTTATTGAGAATTTTTGTATTTATGTTCCTCAGGGATATTGGCCAGTCATTCTCTTTTTTTGTGGTGCCTTCATCTGGTTTTGTTATCAGGGTAATTCTAGCCTCATAGAATGAATTTGGAAGTCTTCATTCCACTTCTAATTTTTGGAAAAGTTTTATAGGAATAGGTATCAACTCTTCCTTAAATGTTTGTTTGAATTTCGCTGTGAAGCTGTCTGGTTGTGGACTTTTTTGATTACTGATTCAATTTCTTTACTGGTAATTGGTCTGTTTGTTTCTGCTTCAGTTTTGGTTGGTTATATCTTTCTAGGATTTATGCATTTTTTCCAGGCTGTCCAATTTGTTGGCATATACTTTTCATAATATTCTCTTACAATCATTGGTATTTCTGTGATGTCAGTTGTTTTTCTCCTATTTAACTGATGATTTTATTTGAATCCCCTCTATTTTGATGAGTCTGGCTAAAGGTTTATCGATTTTGTTGATCTTTTCAAGAACCAGCTCCTGAGAATATGGAGGTTCCTCAAAAAGTTGAAAATAGAGCTACCCTACGACCCAGCAATTGTACTACTGGGTATTTACTCCAAAGATACAAATGTAGTGATCCGAAGAGGTACATGCACCCCAATGTTTATAGCAGCAATGTTCACAATAGCCAAACTATGGAAAGAGCCAAGATGTCCATCAACAGATGAATGAATAAAGAAGATGTGGTATTTATATACAATGGAATATTATGCAGCCATCAAAAAAACCCTGAAATCTTGTCATTTGCAACGACATGGATGGAACTACAGGTTATTATGCTAAGCAAAATAAGTCAATCAGAGAAAGACAAGTATCATATGATCTCACAGATATGAGGAATTCTTAATCTCAGGAAACAAACTGAGGGTTGCTGGAGTGGTGGGGGTAGGGAGGGATGGGGTGGCTGGGTCATGGACATTGGGGAGGGTACGTGCTATGGTGAGCACTGTGAATTGTGTAAGACTGATGAATCACAGACCTGTACCTCTGAAAGAAATAATACATTATATGTTAAAAAAAAAAAAGACAGTAGGAAGGGAAAAATGAAGGGGGGGAATCGGAGGGGGAGATGAACCATGAGAGACTATGGACTCTGAGAAACAAACTTAGGGTTTTAGAGGGAAGGAGCATGGGGGGATGGGTTAGACTGGTGATGGGTATTAAGGAGGGCACGTATTGAATGGAGCACTGGGTGTTCTACACAAACAATGAAACATGGAACACTACATCAAAAACTAATGATGTAATGTATGGTGACTAATATAATAAAATAAAATTAAAAGAAAAAAGAACCAGCTCCTGATTTTATTAATCTTTTAAAATTATTATTTTTTACTTTCTATATCATTTATCTCTGCTCCAATCTTATTATTTTCATCCTTCTCCTAGTTTGGGGTTTTGTTTGTTGTTCCTTTTGTAGCTCCTTTAGGAGGTTAAGTTGTTTAAATACCTCCCTGCTTCTTGAGGTTGACCTATATTTGCTATAAATCTACCCCTTAGAACTGCTTTTCCTGCCTCCTAAAGGCATTGGATCACTGTATTTTCATTTTCAATTCACTCCATGTAATTTTTAATCTCATCTTTGATTTCTTGGTTTTCCCATTCATTGTTTAGTAGCATGTTATTTAACCTCCATGTATTTGCGTTCTTTCTAGTGTTTTCCTCATGGTTGTTTCCTAACTTCATAGCATTGTGGTCTGAAAAGATGCATGGTATGCAAGACTTTAATCTTTTTGAATTTGTTGAAACTTTCTTTGTGGTCTAATATGTGATCTAGTCTGAAGAATGTTCCAAGTGCTCTTGAAAAGAATGTGTATTCCACTGTTTTAGGACAGAATGTTCTGAATACATTTAAGTTCATCTGGTCCAATGTGTCATTCAAAGCAAATGTTTCCTTGTTGATTTTCTGTTGGGATAATGAGTTTATGTAAATGAAGTGTTAAAGTCCCCTACTATGACTGTATTACTATGAATTAGTGCCTTTATGATTGCTATTAGCCATTTTATGTATTTTGCTTCTCCCATGTTTGCTGCATAAATCTTTACAATTGTTATATGGTGGTCTCTTTGGATTGTCCCCTTTATTACTATATAGTGTACTTCTTTGTCGATTCATAAAATCTTTCTTTTAAAGTCTATTTTGTCCAATATAAGTATTGATACCCTGGCTTTCTTTTCACATCCATTTGCATGATAAATGGTTCTCCGTCTCCTCACTTTCAATCTGAGGGTGCATTTATGACTAAAATGAGTCTCTTGTAGGTAGCATAGAGATGGGTCTTGTTTTTTATCCATTCTGATACCCTATGTCTTTTTATTGGAGTGTTTAGTCCACTTACTTTCAGAGTGATTATTGAAAGATATGAATTTAGTGCCATTGTGTTGCCTGTAAAATTGGTGTTTCTGGAGATTTTCTGTTCCTTTCTAATTTGTTGCTTTTGGTCTTTTTTCCCCAAAGAATGCCCTTTAATATTTCCTGCAGGGCTGGTTTAGTGGTCACGAACTCTTTTGGTTTTTGTTTGTCTGGGAAACTCTAGTTCTCCTTCTACGATGAATGACAGCCTTGCTGTATAACGTATTCTTGGTTGCACATTTTTCCCATTTAGCATGTTGAATATATCCTGCCACTCTCTTCTGGCCTGTCATGTTTCTGTGGACAGATCTGCTGCAAACTTAATCTGTCTTCCTTTGTAGCTTAAAGACTTTTTCCCCCTTTCTGCTTTCAAGAATCTTTTCTTGTCTGTGTTTGTTTTCTCATTCCTCAGATTGATTTCCTAGGTGTTAAGAATGATATTTATCTAGCTGTATTCAAGGGATGAGGGAAGCATAATGTCCTTCTACTACTCCACCATTTTACCCTAGATTCGGCAGTTTATATGTTTTTAGGAATTTATACATTTCTTCCATGTTGCCCAATTTGTTGGCATATAGTTTTTCATAATCTCTTATAACTATTTCTGTGGTGTTGGTTGTTATTTCTCCTCTCTCATTTGTGATTTTATTTCGTTGGATCCTTTCTCTTCCCTTTGATGCTTCTGGCTAGAGTTTATCAATTTTACTGAGTTTTTCAAAGAACCATCTCCTGGTATCTTTGATCTACTCTGTTCTTTTGTTTGTTTGGTTTTTGTTTTTTTTTTTAGTTTCTATATCACTTATGTCTGCTCTCATCTTTATTATTTCCTTCTTCCTGGCTTTAGGTTTCATTTGTTGTTCTTTTTTGGCTCCTTTATGTGTAAATTTAGGCTGTTTGAGACTTTTCTTGCTTCTTAAGAGAAGGTGTATCGCTACATACTTCCCTTTTAAAACCACTTCTCCTGCATCCAAAAGTTTTTGGACCATTGTCCAATGTTGTCATTTTTATTTCTTTCCGTTTATTTTCTTATTTCCTTTTTGATTTCCTGGATGATTTGTTTCATTGTTTAGTAGCATGTTTTTTAACATCCACATACTTGTGGTCTTTTCAAATTTTTGCTTGTGGTTGACTTCAAGTTTCATAACATTATGGTGAGAAAATATTCATGGTATGATCTCCATCTATTTATACCTGTTGACGCCTGATTTGTGACCCCCTTTGTGATCTATCCTGGAGAATACCCCATGTGCACTCAAAAAGAATGTGTATTCTGCTGCTTTAGGATGAAATGTTCTGAATTTATCTGTTATGTGGTCCGCTGTGTCATTCAGAGCCATTGTTTCCTTGTTGATTTCCTGCTTCTATCACCTGTTCATTGCTGTAAGTGGGGTGTTAAAGTCCCTTACTATTTTTGTATTATTATTATTTCCTTTATGTGTGTTGTTAATTTATTTATATATTTGGGTAGCCCCAAGTTGGTGGCTTAAGTATTTACAATTGTTAGATCTTCTTGTTGGATGGACCCCTTTATTATGATAAGAGTGCCCTTCTTCATCTCTTGTTACAGTCTTTGATTCAAATCTAGTCTGTCTGATGTAAGTATGGGTACTCTGGCTTTCTTTTGACATCCATTATCAAGACAAATGTTTGTCCATCCCCTCACTTTCAATCTGTAGGGTTCTTTACATCTAAAACGAGTCTTTTCTAGGCAGCTTATAGATGGGTGTTGGGTTTTCTATCCATATTGTCACCATAAGTGTTTTGATTGGAGTATTTAGTCCATTTACATTCGAAGTAATTATTGATAGATAATTATTGCCACAGTGGTACTTTTGTTGTTTTTATAGTTTTCTCATCCTTTCTTTAATAGCTTTCATGGTTTGTTGCCTTTCTTTAGTGATATACTTGGGAATACATTCTCTTTATTATTTTATATCTATTACTGTTTTTTTTTTATTTCTGGTTACCAATAGGTTTGTACATAACATCTGAATATACTAGCCTATATTAGGTTAATGGTCATTTATGTTTGAACCCATTCTTTACTCCTCTTCCCTCCATGTTTTGGGTATATGGTGTCACATTTTACATCCTTATATTTTGTGAATCTTTTGATTGATTTTTACAGATATACTTATTGCTGGTTTTGTGGTTACTACTTTTTATACTTTTACTTATGGTCTTTCCACTCAAAGAGTCCCCTTTAATATTTCTTGTGGGGCTGGTTTAGGGGTCAGAAACTTCTTTACCTTTGTCTGTCTGAGAAACTATCTCTCCTCCTATTCTGAATGATGCCCTTGGTTGATAGAATATTCATGGCTGAAGATTTTCCCTTTACATCACTTTGAATATATCATGCTTCTTCCATCTGGCCTGCAGTTTCTGCTGTAAAATCAAATGATATCCTTATGTGGTTTCCCCAGTATGTAACAATCTACTTTTTTTTCACTGTTTTTGAAATTCTCTCATTTTCACTACTTTTTGCCATTTTTATTACTATGTGTCTTGACATGTACCTTCTTGGGTTGAATTTCTTGGGGGGTTTCTGTGCCTCCTAAATCTGGATCTCTGTTTCTTTCCCCATATTCAGGTTGTTTTCAGCTATTATTTAAGTATATTTTTTGCCCCTCCATTTCTCTCTTCTCTTTTGGGAACCCTATAATAAGAACGTTATTGCTCTTGGGCGCCTGGGTGGCTCAGTCGTTAAGCGTCTGCCTTCGGCTCAGGTCATGATCCCAGGGTCCTGGGATCGAGTCCCCACATCGGGCTCCCTGCTCGGCGGGAAGCCTGCTTCTCCCTCTCCCACTCCCCCTGCTTGTGTTCCTGCTCTCGCTGTCTCTCTCTCTGTCAAAAAAATAAATAAAATCTTAAAAAAAAAAAAAAGAACGTTATTGCTCTTGATGCAGTCATTGAGTTTTCTAAGTCTATTCTCATTATGCAGTATTTGTTTGTCTTTCACCTGTTTACCTTGATTACTTACCATTATTCTATCCTTCAGGTCACATATAAGTTCCTCTCCTTCCTATTGTCCACTATTTATTCCATCTATTGTATTTTATATGGAGTTCTTCATCTCTGATATGTTATTTTTTGGAGTTCTTCATCTCTAATATGTTATTTTTTAATCTCTTTATCAAGAGTCTCTGGGGCACCTGGGTGGCTCAGTTGGTTAAGCGGCTGCCTTCGGCTAGGTCATGATCCAAGGGTCCTGGGATCAAGCCCTATGTCAGGCTCCATGCTCAGCAGGAAGCCTGCTTCTCTCTCTCCCACTCCCCTTGCTTGTGTTCCCTCTCTCACTGTCTCTCTGTCAAATAAATAAATAAAATCTTTCAAATAAAAAAAAAGTAGTCTCACTGATGTTCTCCACCCTTTTCTGAAGTCCAGTGAGTATCTTTATGATCATTACTTTAAATCCTCTATAAGGCATATTATTTATATCTGTTTCACTTAGGTCTCTTGCTGTGGTTCTGTCCTGTTCTTTAATTTGGGACATATTCCTCTATCTCATTTTGTCTTACTCTCTGTGTTTCTGTGTGTTAGGAAGTCAGATATGTCTCCTGTTCTTGAGGGTAATGGCTGTATGAAGAAGAGTACTTATATTGCCCTGCAGTGCATATGCTCTGTTCCCCAGAACATGACACTTCATGGGCTGGCTCCTATGTGTGTTGCATGTGCCCTGCAGTTGTGTCCTGTCCACTTTCTCCTTTAGTCCAGTCATATACAGAGGCTCTCTTTGCCTGTCGTGGTTTGGTCCCAGGGCAGGGTGGGGCATGCCATTTTAACAAGGTGCACTCTGATCTGCTTGTGAAATGAGATCTGCTGTCACCCCCAGAACTTTGGCCACCCTGGATTCACCCAGAAAGTGTGCAAAGCTGGCACAGCACACAATTTTATCTAGGTGCACCTCAAGCTTCTACATGGCCTGCCACTGCTGCTGCTGCCACTGCCACAAGGACCAAGGCCCCATAAAACATGTGGTTGGGAGACATGGTGTTGACAAGGTCTGCACTAGTCTGGTTAAAGGACTTCTAGCAACATGACTGAAGGAAAGGTGACTGGGAAGAGCAGGGCCACCACAGGGAAAGGTACAGGGTTAGATATAAGCAAGTTAGGTAGTAATGGTGACAGGCTGGTTCCTGCTAGTGGCAGTGTATTTATGTTGGGGAGTGGGGGAAGGAGATGGCACCTGTTAGCTCCTTTTTTCCTGCAGAAGTCCACCAGCAGTCCCTGTCTCTCTGGGACAGAGTCTAAGTTCAGTAAGTAACTCTCCCTCCTGTATTCCCCAGGTGTTTTTCAAACAGCTGCTTCTAGGTTGGACCTCTAGGGTCTGTTTGTTGTGCTCTGTAAGGGTAGAGACACAACTTCCTCTTTCCTGCCTGCTCTCCCAGAGCCAATCCCACTGATTTTTAAAACTCTAGGCTTTTGAGTCCTGCTGGTTTTAAGAACTCATGAAATTTGGTCCTTCACGATTTCAAAGCCGTGGGAATTTTTCTTCCCAGTGTGGACTCCACAATGTGATAATCTATATCTCTCCCCTCTTGAATCCCAAGGCTCCCTCCATCTGCAGATGGCCAAGGGCCATTTTGCAGCCAAACCATGTCTCCAAGTTCCCTACCTTCCTTGATGTTGCCTCTTTACCCTTCACTGCAGTGTTTATTCTGCCAGTCTTCAGGTTGTTTTCTGGGTTATTTACACTTGAGTGTTATCTAGTTGTATCCATGGGACAAGGTGAGCTTAGGGTCCCACTACTCTGTCATCTTCTCAGGCTCCACCTCTATAGTAGTCTATTATTAGGTTGATGGTCACTTAAGTTCAAACACATTCTAAAAGTACTGCATTTCTACTCCTCTCTCCAGTTTTTATGTATATATTTTATATATATTTTTTAAATTTTTTGACTCCCTGAAGTATTTGTTTATATAATTAATTTTACTGCTTTTGTTTTTTTAACCTTCACACTAGTTTTATAAGTGACTAATCTAATATTCTCATTGTATGTTTGCTTTTACTCATGATTTTTAAATTTTTTTCTTTTAATTATGATGTTTCCCTTTTCCCACTTAATGAAGTGCCTTTAAAAATAAATAAATAATGAGTTGTTGTTTTTTTTTTTTTTCTAAAACAGGTTCAGTGGGGATAAACTTCATTAGCTTTTGTTTGTCTGGGAAATTATCTCTCCTTCAGGTCTGAATGTAACTTTGCTGGGTAGGGTATTACTAGTTGCAGGTTTTTCTTCTTGCACGTTGAATATATCATGTCATTGCCTTCTCAAGTGCAAAGCTGCTGCTGTATAAATCACCTGATAGCCTTCTGGTGTTTTCCTTTTATGTAACTAGTTGATTTTTCCCTTGCTACTTTTTCCCTTGCTCTCTTTATCTTTAATATTTGACATTTTAATTATTATGTATCTTGGTGTGGACCTCCTTCCATTCACCATATTTAGAGATATACATGCTTCCTGGACCCGGATATCATGTTTCTTTCTCCAGACTATGGAAGTTTTCAGCCATTATTTCTTCAAATAAGCTTTCTGCCCCTTTCTCTCTCACTTCTCCTTCTGGAACTTGTATAATTAGAATATTAATACACTTGATGCTGTCTCAGAAGGAAACTTTCCTCATTTTTAATTTTTTTTTTTTTTGCATTTTTGCTGTTCAGTTTGGTCACTTTCCAGAGCTCTCTCTTACAGATTCCTAGTCTGTACTTCTATATCTTCTAATCTATCAATTCCATGTAGTGGATTTTTTTTCATTTCAGATATGGTATTCTTCAACTGATTGGTTCTTTTTAATACTTTCTATCGCTTTTTTGAAGTTCTTACTGAGTTCATCCACTCCTCTCTCCAATCCAATGACCATTTTTATGACCATTACTTTGAACTCTTTATTAGAGAGATCGTTTAACTCCATTTCATTTAGTTATTTTCTAAAATTTTGTCTCTTTCTTTCCTTTGGAGCATATTCCTATGTCTCATTTTATTTGACTTTGTTTGTTTCTATTAATTACATGGACCAGTTATTTCTCCTAGTCTTGAATGACTGGCCGTGTGTAGATAGTGTTGGTTTAGCAGCTTTTGTTGCCTGGCTGGAACTGTAGAAGGCACAAGTGAGATGACCCAGGAAAGTCCACACAGAGGCTGCCTGGTGGGATGGCTAGAGGTGAACTGGGTGCAGGGTGGAAGGTCCCAGGGCACTCCATAAAAAGGGCTTCTTGATAGGACAGGTGAAGCTAAAAGGGCTGCTGCCAGGGAGTCTCTTGGCATTCTGTGCAGGTTTGCTCTGGCAGAGCAGCTGCAGCTGCAGCAGGTATAGGCTGGGGGTTCCTAGTGCATTCAGTGCAGGGAGCCCTTGGGCAGGACATCTGGATCCAAAGTGGGTATGGACCTGGGTTGTCCTGGGGTGATTTGCTCCTGTGTTGCCTTGATGAGATGGCTGGAGCTGTAGTGGGCACTGTCCAGGAATGTCCTCATGCACAGAATGCTGGGGCGACCTGGGTGGGATAGCTGGGGATTGGGTAGGTGGTGGGGGCTGTCTTGGGTGGGATGACTGTGGCTACTGTGAGCTAGGAGTCCAGGGCTCACCAGGGCAGCCAGCTGGTTAGGTTGCCTGTAAGTACCCTGCTCCTGTCTGCATTATCAAGGTGGAGGGGATGCATAAACAATGGCACTCACCAGCCCCTCCAATAGTGCGATGTCCCCACAGTACTTCTAGGGTTGTTTCCTTTATATTTTAGTTGTTCTTTTAAATCAATTGTTTTGTTTGTTTGTTTGTTTGTTTTTCCTGCGCTCCAAGGTGGTGAAAGCTGGTTTGGGCACGGAATCTGGGGAATCATTAAAACATTAGGCCAGTGAGGGTGCCCAGATTCTGCTTTTATCTTTGTTATCAAGGTGGAGGGGGAGCATAAACAATAGTGCTCACCAGCCACTCTGATTCCAGATGGCATTCCAAAGGTCCCCCAGCATTTTGCAGATACTGAAGGGCTGCATCTTTTAAATTCTACTTGCCCTTTTAAACCACAGTTTGTTTGTTTGTTTGTTTGTTTGTTTGTTTGTTTTCCCCTGTAACCTAGGGTAGAGAATCTGCTCTATGTCTGTCAATGCTATACCTCCAAGGTGCAGTTCACCGAACTGGGCATAGGGTTCTCATAGTTTCCTTGTGTCTGTCTCTCCTGCCATCATCTATGTAGTCCCTCTATCCTTTGTTGTGGAGAAGCTGTTAAGTCAGACCACAGTTCTTCTGGAGGAGTTGCTCTATATGTAGGTGATTTGGTCTATCTGTGGAGATGAGTTCAAGGTCTTCCTATGTTGCATTCTTGGATCCTGCCCCAAATTTTCTCTTCTTATAAAGACTAACATATTTTAACATTTCTTTTATTTTTTTTTATTTTTTTTAAAGATTTTATTTATTTATTCATGAGAGACAGAGAGAGGCAGAGGGAGAAGCAGGCTCCCAAGGAGCAGGAAGCCCGATGCGGGACTCGATCCCAGGACCCTGAGATCATGACCTGAGCCGAAGGCAGATGCTTAACAATCTGAGCCACCCAGGTGCCCTTTAACACTTCTTTTAAAGTTTTTATTTAAATTCCAGTTAGTTAACTAACAGTATTAGTTTCAGGTACACAATACAGTGATTCAACACTTCCATACAACACCCGGTGCTCATCACAAGTACACTCCTTAATCCCCAACACCTATTTAACCCTTCCCCTCTGGAAACCATCAGTTTGTAATCCATAGTCTGTTTCTTGATTTGCCTATCTCTTTTTTCCCTTTGTTTCTTTTGTTTCTTAAATTCCACATATGAGTGAAACCATATGGTATTTGTCTTTATCTGACTCACTTATTTCACTTATGATAATACTCTGGGTCTCCATGATATCATTGCAAATGGCAAGATTTCATTCATTTTTATGGCTGAGTAATATTCCACTCTATATACATATATACCAATTCTTTATCCATCCATAAGTCACTGGACACTTGAGATATTTCCATAATTTGACTATTGTAGATAATGCTGCTGTAAACATCATGGTACATGTATACATCTGAATTAGTATTTTTGTGTTCTTTGGGTAAATACCTAGTAGTGTCATTGCTGGCATATAGCGTATTGATGTTTTTAACTTTTTGATGCAATTCCATACTATTTTCCACAGTGGCTGCACCAGTTTGCATTCTGAACAAGAGTGCAAGACAGTTCCCCTTTCTCCACATACTTTCCAAGACTGGTTGTTTCTAGTGTTGCTAATTTTAGCCATTCTGACTGGTGTGAAAGGATATCTCATTGTAGTTTTTATTTTTATTTCCGTGATGATGAGTGATGTTGAGCATTTTTTCATGTGTCTGTTGGTTATCTCTATGTCTTCTTGGAAAAAATACTGATGTCTTCTGCCAATATTTTAATATGGATTATTCATTTTTTGGATGTTGAGTTTACTTCTTTATGTATTTTGGATACTAATGCTTTATCAGATATGTCATTTGCAAATATCTTCTCCCATTCTGAAGGTTGCCTTTTAGTTTTGTTGATTGTCTACTTCACTGTACAGAAGTTTCTATTTTGAAGAAATCCCTATAGTTTATTTTTGCTTTTGTTTCCCTTACCTCAGGACACTATCTAGGAAGAAGCTTCTCCAGCTAATGACAAAGAGCTTACTGCCTGTGTTCTCCTGTAGGATTTTAAGGGTTTCTTGTCTCACACTTAGGTATTTCATCCAGTTTGAATTTATGTTTGTGTATAGTGTAACAATGTGGTCCACTTTCATTATTTTACATGTTGCTGTCCAGTTTCCCCAAAACCATTTTTTGAGGAGACTGTCTTTTGCCCATTGGATATTCTTTCCTGCTTTGTCAGATTAAATACCATATAGTTATAGGTTCATTTCTTGGACTTCTATTCTGTTCCATGTGTGTCTATTTTTGTGCCAGTACCATACTGTTTTGATCACTATACCTTTGTAAGAGAACTTGAAGTCTGGAACTGTGATGCCGCCAGGTTTGCTTTTTGTTTCCTCCTTCTTCTTTTTCAACGTTGCTTTGGCTATTCAGGATTTTTTTGTGGTTCCATACAAATTTTATGATTGTTTTTCTAGTTCTGTGAAAAATTCTGTTGGTATTTTGATAGAGATTGCATTAAATATGTAGACTGCTTTGTGTAGACGTTTTTAACAATGTTTATTTTTCTAATCCATGAGCATGGAATGACTTTCCTTTTCTTTGTGTCATTTTCAATTTTTTTCATCAGTGTTTTACAGTTTTCAGAATAAAGGTCTTTCACCTCTTTGGTTAGGTTTATGCCTAGGTGTCTCATTGTTTTTGGTGATTTATAAGTGGGACTGATCCTTGATTTCTTTTTCTGCTGCTTCATTAGTGGTGTATAAAAATGCAAAAGATTTCTGCATGTTGATTTTGTGTCCTACAACTTTACTAAATTCATTTATCATTTCTAGCAGTTTTTTTTTGGTAGAGTGACGGGTCTTCTATATAGAGTATCATGTCATCTACAAATAGTGGAAGTTTTACTTCTTCCTTACCAATTTGGATTTTTTTTTTTTGGTCTGATTATTGTGGCTAGGACTTCTGATGCTATGTTAAATAACAATGCTGAGAGTGGCCATCCTTGTCTTGTTTCTGGCCAAAAAGGAAAAGCTCTCAGTTTTTCCCCATTGAGGATGATATTAGCTATGGGTCTCTTGTATACGGCTTTTATGATGTTGAGCTATGTTCCCTCTGTCCCTATTTTGTTGACAGTTTTTATCATGAATGGATGTTGTACTTTGTGAATGGTATTTCTGCATCTATTGGAAGGATCATATGTTTTTTCTTCCTTTCTTTTATTAATATGGTGTATCACAATGATTGATTTTTGAACAGTGAACCACCCTTGCAGCCCAGGAATAAATGCCACTAGATCATGGTGATGATTCTTTTAATGTACTGTTGGATTCAATTCACTATTAATTTATTGAGAATTTTTGCATCCATGTTCATCAAGGGTATTGGCCTATATAGTTCTCTTTTTCTGTTGAGTCTGGCTGGTTTTGTTATAAGGATAATGCTGGCCTCACAGAATGAAATTGGAAGTTATACTTCCATTTCTATTTTTTCCAATATTTGGAGAAGCACAGATATTAACTCCTCTTTTAATGTTTTCTTGAATTCACCGGTGAAGTCATCTAGCCCTGGACTTTGTTTCTAGGAGATTTTTGATTGTTGATTCAATTTCTTTGCTGGTTATCAGTCTGTTCAAGTTTTCTGTTTCCTCCTGTTTTAATTTTAGTAGTTTATATGTTTCTAGGAATTTATCCATTTCTTCCACATTGCCCAATTTGTTGGCATATAGTTTTTCATCATATTCTCTTATAATTGTACGTATTTCTGTAGTGTTGCTTGTTATTTCTCCTCTCTCATTTATGATTTTATTTACTTGGGTCCTTTATCTTTTCTTTTTGGTAAGTCTGGCTGGGGTTTATCAATTTTATTATTTTTTTCAAAGGATCACCTTTTGATTCCATTGATCTGTTCTGTTGGTTTTTTGTTTTTGATTTTTTTTTTTGTTTCTACATCATTTTTTTCTTTTCTAATCTTTATTATTTCTATTCTTCTGCTGGCTTTAGGCTTCATTTGATGTTCTTTTTCTAGCTCCTTTAGGTATAAGGTTAGGTAGTTTGAGATTTTTCTTGCTTCTTGAAGTAGGCTTGTATTACAATATACTTTCAGCAGCTTTAGCTGCATTCCAAATGTTTTGGACCATTGTGTTTTCATTTTCATTTAGTTCCTTGTATTTATTTCTTCTTTGATTTCCTTGTTGACCCATTCACTGTTTTGTAGAATGTTGTTTAACCTCCATGCATTTCTGGTATTTCTAAATTTTTTCTTGTGGTTGACTTCAAGTTTCATAGCATTATGGTCAGAAAATATGCATGGTTTGATCTCAGTCTTTTTGTACTTTTTTAGGTGTGATCTGTGACCTAATATGAGATCTATTTTGGAGCACATCCCATGTGCACTTGACAAGAATGCAGCTTTGGGATGGAATGATCTGAATATATCTGTTAAGTCCTTCTGGTCCAGTGCGTCATTTAAAGCCATTGTTTCCTTGTTGATTTTCTGCTTAGATGATCTGTCCATTGAGGAATGTGGGCTGTTATTGTTGCTTAGAATTATTATATTATTATTAATGAGTTCCATTATGTTCATTATTAACTATATTATATATTTGGTTGCTTCCATGTTGGGTACATAAATATTTACAATTGTTATATCCTGTTAGATAGTTCCCTTTATTATGATATAGTAGTCTTCTTCATGTCTTATTACAGTGTTTGATTTAAAATCTAGTTAGCCTGATAGAAGTACTGCTACCTCCACTTTCTTTTGAGGTCCATGATAAATGTTTCTCCATCTCCTCACTTTCAATCTGCAGGTAAGTCTGCTATTTCTTTATTGATCTGTCTACATATTCTACCCATTACTGAAAGTGGAGTATTTATGTCCTCCACTATTATTGTCTATTTCTCCCTTCAGTTTTCTCCTCTCCTAAGGCATATTCTTCCATCTCTGCACTTGATCTCACCTCCCTCAAACCATTAATTATACCCACTTTTTCCTGTCCCTTCTGCTTCTCCCTATTTGACATTCCCATGAATATTTAATATTCTCAAGTCTTTTCCTTCAAAACAAAGTTTCATTTAACTTTATGTTCCCCTTATTATAAATATCTCTCCTTCTTCCTATGTATCATATCTCAATTTCTTGAAAGCACTGTCTGCATTCTCTTTGACCACTTCCCCACTCTTCCTCTATGCACTCCTCAAACCACTACAATCTTTTTTTTATTTCTTACATGCCAAATCAAGGACCTCCTTTGATAGAGTCAATGATTGTTCTCTCCCTTCCATTCCCAACACCAATGGACACTTTAAAGTCTTTTACAAAAACATGTTGACACTGTTGATTACCTCCTCTTTCTTGAGATACTCTTTTCCCTTAGGTTATAGGACACTTCATTATTATTATTTTTTTTTTTAGGACACTTCATGTTCTGTTCTCCTTCCTTCTTTGGCTATGCAGTTTCATTTGCAGGATCCTCTTCCTCTCCATAGTCTTTTCAACATTGGTGTTCTTCAGAATTCCATTTTCACTGTCTTGTCTCACAGTATACATTCCTCATGACTTCAGCTCCCATTCAAGTACTCATAATTCCCATCTATATGCTGATAGTATCCAAATCTGCATCCCTTGTCTATAATTCTGATATTCTAAAGACCATCTACACCCCAATGTCCCACAGGTATCTCAAATTAATCATGGCTGAAAATGAAATACACCTCGTCAACTTTCTTCATTTGAGTGTCTCCCACTGATAATGTATATTTAATTCAAATCTCCCTTAGAAGATGATTCTGTCTCCAGCACTAGACTGTGTAGTCTTCAAGGGCAGGTACAGTTTAGTACTCTCTGTGCCTGACACACAGAAGTTCTCAGTAAGTGCTGACTGAATAGAACTGAATTAGTTCCAAATTAACATCTCTTCTTTTCTAGAAAATTTTGAGGATCTCTTCCTCTATAGTTTCTTCAAAATTCTTGAGATTTCATTTTTCCTTGTTCTTGTTAATATATATCTGCTACAATATTTTATTTTAGTGAGGGCACCCATTCAAATGTTCATAGACTTTCTGATCTTTGTAATTCAGGAGTTGTTGAAGCCTTGCCTCATTCTTGGAACATCCTCTCATAGGCTTTCAGAATCTCTTTCCTCATAGACAACATTAGAGTGCACCAAAGTTCTAAGGTTTTTATAAAAACCTGTCTGAGCAAAGAACACGTAGTCTGTGACTCCATGTATATAAAGTTGAAGCACAGGCAAAACTAATAGATGGTGATAGAAGTCAGAATAGTGGTTACTTCTTGAGGGTACTGACTTGGAAGGAGTACAAATGAACCTTCTGGGTTACTGAAAATGTTCTATATTTTGCTCTAGGTGGTGATTACATGAATATTTAATATGGGTACAAAATCATCAGAGCTATATACTTAAGATTTATGTGCTTTACTATGAGTTATATATCAATTAATAAGCAATACAAAAGAAACAAACCTATGAACTTCTATTGTGTATTTTATCTTTTACATTCCTAATCAACAAGATGGAAAGATGCTATATTGAGATTTCAATATGTATCAATGTGCATCTACCAAGCCTGTATATGATATGTACAATAATAGATAAATATCAGGCAGAGAAGTAGCAAAGAGGAAGTAATCCCTTCTAGAGACAAAGAACAGGAAATAAAAGAAAATTTTCTTAAGGCTAAGACAACTGAGCAGGACTTTGAAGAATGAAGTTCATGAGGTAAAAGATATGAAGATATTAGAGAAAAACAAATATACAATTAAATGGGAGTCAAACATAGGTTCAAGGAAACCCTGGTGAAACATAAAATATAAGAAAAGGATTATATAAGTTTGGGGTGGAGTGTAGGGATTAGCAGAAGACCAGTTTAAGTAAGAGACATGCCATAGAGAATCTTTTAGGCCACACTAAGACTATCATCGGAAATAGAAAGTCATTGAAGGATTTTAAGTAGAGAAACAATGTGGTTAGATATTTATTCTAGAGACTGTACCAAAGTCATCAGGCAGTAGTGGAGGCAGTAGATTCAGTTATGAAATTATTATTGTCATCAGGAGAAATGGTAAGGGTCTAAACTAGGGTACTGGAATGGAGTTTAGGAAATGGAATAGAAGACAAATTCATGAGATATTCTGAAGGAATGATCATTATGATTTTGCATCAGATTAAAAAGTGGAGGTAAAAAAAGAGAAATATGACATGATGTCCTAGTTGTTTTTCCTTGGGAATATTAGTACCAACAAGAATAAGAAAGAGGTTTATGGTGCTGCTGGTGGAGTAATGAAGAGTTCAGTTTTGGCTATGTTCAGTTTTGAGGTGCTGGAAAGGCATCCACATAGAAAAAGTTAGCAGGCAGTTCGCTTTATGAGTCTGAAGCTTGGCATAAAGGCTTGTGCTGGTGGTACAGATTTGGGAAACATCTGCATATGTATGTTTAATTAGACCCAAGGCATGGGTGAGATTGCCAAGGAGAATTGAGAATTCAAACAGGGAGATTTAGGAATCACCAAATCTAAAGATCCAGGCAGAGGAGTACTCAGAAAAAGAGTGAGAAACAAAGGCCAGATATGTAAGAGAAGAACTGAAGAAGGATGTCATAAAAAGGAAAAGAGGAGAGAATTTTAAATATTACAGAGAGTCACGATAAAAGCTAAAAGCTATTCACTAAATCTGGCAATTAGAGCTATGGTAACCTCTACCACAAAGCATAATGCACAGCCCTTCTAACAAGTTCCTGCATCTCTACATGAAATTTTTCAACATTTTCACCCATTCTTATCTTCTTTCCTCTAAATTAGCGTTTCTCAAGTCTATCTGGCCCTGTTTCTTAAATATTTTAATGCCTATTTTATGATATGGAAATAAAATATACATGATACCAAAAATATGGTATCTATAATATGAAAGAGAAATACAAAGAAAGTAGTTTATGAGGAAACAAAATGTATTTCAATATGGAAATGCTGGGGCATGACAACACTAAAAGACATATGCAGACAAGTATACAGAGAATGCCTGTAAATGTAATAGCTATAAATGCTGACTGATACAGCTCTGTTATTACTATTATTTCAAATATCCAAGAGCAGTATTTTGTAGGTGAAATGATTTTCCAAAATGATGAACGTTCTTGGTAACATTCTGAACAAAACAAAGTAAGATCTTATGTTGGTTTACATGGTAGATGCATTCTTGGAAAAGTCAGTGTGTATTAAAACTTTCTTCTTTGTATATAAAATGAAGTTTGAGTCAAGGCCCGGATCAATACAGATTTTTTATCTATACAAACAACCAATGGGATAATCAAAAGTTGTAGGATATATATATATATATATATACACACACATATATGTATATAATTTTTTTTCTATATCTCTTACAACTTTGATATTTTATATATGTATACTTGGCTAGACTAGATACCCCAGTTATTCAATCAAGCACTGATCTAGCTGTTGCTGTAAAGCCATTTTGTAGATGTAATTAATGTCTGTGATCTCATTTAGGTAAAGGAGATTATCCCATAAATTGTGGGTGGACCTAATTCAATCAGCTGATAGGTCTTAAGAGCAGAATGAGGCTTCCCTGAAGAAACCTCACCTCTGAACGCTAGCTTCAGCCCATGCCAGAAAGTTTCATTCTGCATTCCTGAGGGACTGCTCTATGGATTTCAGACTCATCTAGTCAGTCCCTGCAATCACATAAGCCAATTCCTTGAATACATTTTTAATATATATCTCTTACTGGTTCTGTTTCTCTGGTTGATCCCTGATTGATTATACCAACTAATCAGTAATATTTCATCAACCTTTCTGAAATCCATTCCTCTATGACTGACTGACTTCAGGCTTTCACCATTACTTGTCAGGATTATTACAAAAACATTTTAAATGGTCTTCTTACCCCAATCTCTTTCTACACCATTTTCCATAGGCTCACTAGTATGATCTATATAAAACATGAATGTGAATATAGTACCCTCCTTAAAAAATCTTCAACGACTTCCCATTTCCTAGCTTTATTTTAAGCTTACCTAGCATGTCACACAAGGTTAAAAGCTCCAGCTTGCTGATCTAGCTTCATTCTCTCTGATCTAAGAAAATCATATGATGTGTAGCTCTTCCCACCATCTATCTTCATCCTCCAACAAGAACAGGCTGTCTCAGGTAAGCAGAATGATGACTACCCAAAAATGTCCACACCTTAATTCCCAGAACCTACAACTACTACGTTACCTTACATGGAAAGAACTTTGATGATGTGATTAAGTTAAAGGCCTTGAGATGGGGGAGATTATTCTGTATTACCTGGGTGCACGCACACTAATTGCATAATTCCTTAAAAGCAGAGGATTTTTCCCCAGCTGAGCCAGAGAGAGATGTAAAGACAAAAAAGAAAAAGAAAAAGAAAAAGAAAATGGAGACTTATAGGTACATAAGGTAATGAAAACAGAATATTGAAGAGACAGTTGCACTCCAGTGTTCATTGCAGCACTATTCATAATAGCCAAGATATGGAAATAACTTAAGTGTCAATCAGTAGCCAGAAGGATAAAGAAGACATGATACACACACACAAATAAATACACACACACACACATACATATAAATATTTAGCTATGAGAAAGAAGGAAACGTTGCCATTTGTGACAACATGGATGGACCTTGAGGGCATTATGCTAAGTGAAATAAGCCAGACAGAGAAAGACAAATACTGCATGGTATCATTTATATATGGAATTTAAAAAAAAGTCAAACTCCTAGAAACAAAGAATATAAAAGTAGTTGCCAGGGGTTGGGGAGTGGGGGAAATAGGAAGACGTTGGTCAAAGGATACAACCTTTCAACTATAAGATGAACAAGGTCTGAGGATTTAATGTAAAACATGATGATTATAGTTGATACCAATGTATTGTATAATTGAAATTTGCTAAGAGAGTAGAATTTAAATGTTCTCACCAAAAAAACCCAATAAATATGTGAGGTGATGGGTGTCTTAATTAACAAGATGGTGGAAATCTTTTCACAATGTATATATATATCAAGTCACCATGATGTACACTTTAAATATCTTACAATTTTATTTGCCAATTAAACATCAATAAAGATGAAAAAAATTGTGAGATGAGGATTAAAAACCCCATCAATACCCATCCTTATTAGAGGGTGTGGGGTATATACATTCCATATGCAGAAAAATCTCTGCATCTATTATCCATGAGGACACTATTTATTTACTTATTTATTTATTTTCATGAGGACAATTTTATATACTCTGTAGTTGAGGGTAATAGAAAAATTGTTTTCTTTCACCTTTTTGCAGATCAAATGTGGTGGTGTCATGGCTGACTTTGGTAGCTTAGAGGAGATGATGCACTGATTTGGGAGCTCTGCCAAAACTAAAATTGCATACAATTTTTTTTTAATTTACTTATGTCACTTAATATTTATAGCCTATAAATAAACTGTGACAGGTATTCATTATCCTCATTTATAGAAGTGAAAATTGGACTCAAAAGTTCAATGACTTGCTTCAAGTGATATAATCAGAAAATAAAGAAATCATATTTGAACACAGGTTCTGTGATTTCAGAAAAAAATGTCTTATAACAACATAAAAATGCTTTTGTTCCACATTTTTTTCCTCAAAAGTGAGTCATATAACCATTCTTTTTAGAAGAAAAATAATCTTACTTTCCTTTGGTGTCACTATATATCTTTTTTAGTGCAACATTTTCAAACATATACATACATCCTAGGTGATGTAAATTCCCAAAATATCTCTCAGGAATAAAAAAGAAAGAAAGTGTAGAAATTCTATGGTAGGAGGGACACAATCTATTGTTGGCTTTGAAGATGGAAAAAGGACACAACAAGCCAAATAATGAAGGTGAACTCTTGAAACTGAGAACAGCCCTCAGTTGACAGCTAGCAAGGAAACAGAGATTCTAGACTTACAGTCATGAGAAATTGAGTTCTGCCAACAACCAAATGAGTAAGACATGAATTTTCCCCTAGACCCTCCAGAAAGGAATGCAGCTTGCCAATAACTTGATTTTCATCCAATGAGACCTGTACCAGATTTCTGACCTACACAATGGTAAAATAGTAAATGTATTGTTTTAAGCCCCTACATTTGTGATAAATTTGTTATGGCAATAGTAGAAAACTTATATGAAATCAATGCAAGAAAAGTTGGTGCACTTCCAAGAAAAACAAAACACTGCGATGAAATGATAACACGTCAGGAAGGAAGATTACCAAGAAAAGAACTTGACCATATCATATTTTCCTTTTAAAAATGATCAATCTAAAGTAGTATAGGAAGGAGTTCTGGGGAGGATGGCAGAGTAGGAGGATCCTAAGCTCACCTCACCCCACAGATCCAGCTATATAACACCATCAGTGTAAATAACTCAGAACACAACCTGAAGACTGCCAGAACAGACTCTCCAAAGCTAACTGTAGAGAAGAGGCCACATCAAAAACAGCAGGAAGGGCACAGAACTGGTTGTGAAACAAAGTGACCTGTGAGACTGACCAGGGGAAGGAGGGATACTGCAAGTACAGAAAAGGAAAAGGAGAAGACCCCACACAAGGCACCCCAGGCTGAAAGACAAATCAGTATAACATTCGGCTTTGAAAACCAGAGTGGCTTAACTTCGAGAGAGTTTTTATAATCAGTGAGGCTTAACACCAGGAATTTTAAAGAAATTTAAAAAAATCAGTAGGGTCAGCTCTGGGAGAACATGAGAACAATAGGAAACTGAGTCCCCACCCTTAAAGAAATAGCATAACAAACAATCCCACTAAGATAAAGTATAGGAGCATCAGCATAGTATACGGGAAAGAGATTTGTTTACTAATCTCAGAACATGTATAGGAAAGGGAGGAGTCTTTAGGAAACTTCTCCAAAATGAAAAGCACTGGTGGGAACCATTTCTCTCCGTCAACCCCCAGCCTAGATGCACAGACAGCTGTAGGAACCAGAGCAAACACTCTCCAACTTGCTTGCTAGCAATATGCTGTGCCTCCATGTTCTCATACAGACCTGCTTCATCCAACCTGCTCTCCACAGGAGTTCTCCAAAACAGCATCAGGTCATCACCCACAAGCAGACCAGAGCAAACCTTCCTAAGAGTGCAACACACCCCAGCACCCTCCTGTGCATATGCCTCACTCAACCCACTCCACTCAGCACAATAAATTTAGGGTTTATCCAAAGCCATGCCACAAGTGTGGCATTCTGCAACCAGCCTGAAAGGTGCCCGGCAACACTCTAAGGTGACTAAGGGCAGAAGCCCCAGCAGCTGACTGGGCGCAGTCATTTGAATTGACTGCAGTCCTCACCCATCAATGAAAGCCTCTCAGGGAACAACAGAGGAAGAGCACCCTGCAGTTTGCTACAACCACAACTCTGGCAAACATCTGGCTGGAACCAATGTAAGCCCAAGGAGTCCCCAGGCTGGCCCCATACAGTATACCAGGGAATAAATCTGGTCCACAGCAGGCAAACGGAGCCACTGCGGAGCATGGGTCTGAAGGCAAACAGAGCTAATCCACAAAAGTAGGGGGCAGCAACACACATAGGAGACAGTCCTAAATCACCAGGTCCTAACGAACAGTGGATATTGCACTGTAGGGTACTACAGGACTTCTTCTTCATAAAGCCACTACTTTGAAGAGCAGGGGACATAAGGGTGTTAGAAGACTCTCCTAAAACATAGAAGCAGACACAGAAAGTTACATGAAAACAGGAGACAGAGGACTGTGTCCCTAATGAACAAACAAGAAAAAAAAAAAAACACACCAAGAGAACTAAATGAAATAGAGATAAGCAATATGCTTGATAGAAAATTTGAAGTAATGGTCACAAAGATACTGACTGGACTTAAGAAGAGTGGAGGATCTCAGTGAGACCCTCAAAAAGAGATAGAAAAGATAAAAAAGAACCAATCAGAAATGAAGAACTCAATAACTAAAATTAAAAATATACTACAGTAGGCTTGGAGAGAAAGATGGTGGCAGAGTAGGAGGATCCTAGGCTCACCTTGTCCCATGAACACAATGAGATAGCTATCAAATCATTCTAAATACTCCATAAATTGGCCTAAAGACTGACAGAACAAACTCCAAAACTAAAGGAAGAAAATATGCCACATCAAAAAAGGTAGGAAGTGTGGAGATATGGTTTAAGGGAGAAACAGATCATGGGTGATGTAGAAGGGAAGCCATGGTTGCAGAGAAGGGTGAGAGAGAGAGGGGGGCACACAGGGCAACTCATAAGGAGAATGTTAACCTAAAGCCATTGGCTTGGAAATGAGAGGGGCTGAATTTGGTGAATTCTTGCAACCAGAGGGGCCTAAAGCCTCAAGCTTTAAAGGGCAGTGGGCTTGGCTGGGATAAAACCCAGAGGGCAGTGGGCTGCACTTGAAGAAGAGAAGGCAAGCAAACAACACAGGGGCAGAGAGCATGGAGACAGCAATCTGAAGAGCACCTGGGGCACACAGTGGGAACATTATTTCTTCTTCTTGGAGCATGTCTGTGAGAGGCAGTGTTCACAAGGACACCTCTTCAGGAATATAGGAGCTGACCAGCACCATTTCCTAACCCCACCCCTCAGCATAAACACAGAGCCACTTGGGGAAAGCAGAGCAATGCCCAAACTGGCTGCACAGCTTGCATACACCAGGCTCCACTCTGGTGAGACGGCCCTTCTCAGTCAAATTTGCCTCAGTCCCAGCATGGTGGGCCCATTCCCCCAGAAGACCAGCATACTCCCCGCCCACACCATGTCTCCCAAACAGAGAGTTCTGCAGGGCCTCAGCTACAGTGGAGGTGATGTCAGAACTCATTTAACAAGCAGAACACAGCACACCTAGTTAAAACACACCACATTCAGGCCAGAGTCCAAACACTGCCCACAGCAGACACAGAGAGCCTCTGCCGATTGCCCTGAAGGATAAAGCAGCCAAAACACAAGAGCAATGCACACGCAGCACACACCAGAGACACTCCCTGAAACACCAGGCCTTGGGCACTACATGACCTCTTACTCACAAGGCCCTACTTTCAGAAGCAGGAAACATATCTGGCTTAACATAGCTCAGAGAAAAATACAGAGATTTCGACAAAATGCAAAGAAGGAAATATTTATCCAAAATGAAAAAAACAAGACCACAGCCAGAGATATAAGTAAAACAGATGAAAGTAACATACCTGATGGAGAATTTTTTTTCCTTCAAGTTTTTATTTAAATTCCAGTTAGTTAACATACAGTGTAATATTAGTTTTACGTATAGAATTTAGTGGTTCATCACTTACATAAAACAACCAGTGCTAATCACAAGAGTCCTCCTTAATAATCATCACCTATTTAACACATCCCCCACCAACATCCTTTCTAGTAATCCTGTTTGTTTTCTATAGTTAAGCATCTGTTTCATAGTTTGCTTCTCTTTTACCCAACTATATTCAACTCTTTTGTTTCTGAAATTCCACATATAAGTGAAGTCATGGTATTTATCTTTCTCTGACTTATTTCACTTAGCATAATACTCTCTAGATCCATCCACGATGTTGGAAGTGGCAAGGATTCATTCTTTTTTAAGGCTGAGTAATATTCCAATGTATATACTATACACATACGTGTGAATATAGACACATATACATGTACACACACATATATGTATATCACATCATCTATCAATTCATCAGTCAATGCGCATTTGGGCTCTTTCCATAATTTGGCTGTTGTTGATAATGCTGATATAAACAACTGATGGAGAATTTAAAATAACAATCATAAAGATACTCAGTGGGCTTGAGAAAAGAATAGAAGGCATCAGTTAGACCCTTAACACAGAGAGAAAATAGATAAAAGAATCAATTAGAGATGAAGAGTTCAATAAACAAGATTTGTAACAGGCTTCATGCAATGTACACCAGGCTGGAAGAAGCAAATGAATGAATTCGTGACCTAGAAGACAAAAAAAGGAAAGTAATGACACTGAAGAGAAAAGAGAGAAGAATTATGCAACATGAGAATAGACATAGGGAACTCACTGACCATCAAACGTAATAACATTTGTATAATAAGAGTCCCAGGAGAAGAGAAAGAAAAAGGGCAGAGAATTTATTTGAAGAAATAATAGCTGAAAATTTCCCTGATCTGGAGAGGGAAACAAACACTTAGATCTGGGAGGCACAGACAACTCCTATCAAAATCAACAAAAGCAGGCCAACACCAAGACATATTGCAATTAAATTTGAAAATTTAGTGATAAAGAACAAATCTTAAAAGCAGCAAGGCATAGAAGCCCTTAACTTACAAGGGAAAACCCATAAGGTTAGCTGGAGATTTCCCAAAGAAACTTTCCAAGTAAGAGTGAAGTAGAGTATATTCAAAGTTCTGAATGGGAAAGATCTGCAGCCAAGAATACTCTATCCAGCCAGGCTGTCATTCAGAATAGAAGGAGAGATAAACAGTTTCCCAGACAAACAAAATCTAAATCTAAACGAAATCATGACCATTAAACCAGCCCTGCAAGAAATATTAAAGGGGACACTTTGAGTGCAAAGTTGACAATCTGTCACCAAAGTGACAAAGACAAGATCAGAGAAAATCTCCAGAAGTGAGAAATCAAGTAATAAAATGGCAATAAATATACATCCATCAATAATTACATTGAATGAGGAGGGAAGCAAGTTGGCAGAGTAAAGGACCTGGTTTCATCTAGTCCCTCGAATTTAGCTGGATAACTATCAAACCATTCTGAACACCCATGAATTCAGCCTGAGACATAAGAAAATTTATCTGGAACTCTACAAGCAGAAAAATGACTGCTTTTTGCAAGGTAGGTGGTGTGGAGTCGTGAATCTGCAGGGAAATATCAGAAGATAAACAGAGAGGGGAAGGAGGCTCTATAAGCTGGTTACCAAAAAGTGATGTAACACCAGAGTGCAAAATCAGAACCCTTAGAAATCTGCTCCAGTGAGAAACATCCCTTTCTGAAAGGGGCTCAGGGGATGAAAAGGGCAGAAATCTAGGTGGGACATTGTGGTGTCAGGATCCTGAGAGACACAGAAAGAATGGGGGTGCCTGAACCAATACAGTGTCCAAGCAGTGGAGAGGGGAAACTGATTATGGTCAGTGAGACTAGGAGGGGCTCTCAGCTCAGGTTGCCATAAACCACAACCGTAGGGAGACCGCTGTTTGCCTGAGCACCTGGAAAAGGACTGGAAGGTGCGGGCTATTTACCATCCCCTGGGAAGGACAAAATGGCTGCACCCATGACTAGGCAACAGATCTCAGAGCAGTGGTGGCCCCGGAAAGGACTGTAGGGAAGCACCCAGCCGTGACGTGGGAGCAGCAGAGCAGGGTGAGTGCATGAGCCCACAACCACTCAAAGTTGCAAAGACACAAAGCACAGTGATGCTCGTGGGTCCCAGGGACACCCCCCAGGAGGATTTCAGTGGGCGCAAACTGCAAGAGTCTGCAGAGTTTGTGACACACAGAAGTGGAGATTCTTTTACCTGTAGGGTTTATTGAAGAGGGGGGACTGCGATCTTGTGGCTCTGGGCTGGGGGTCTGGGCCTGGCCATTTTTGCTTTGACCCTCTGAAGAGGTGTGGAAAGCCTCCAGGGAAAAAAAAGCCTTACAAACGACCAGCTTACATTGACAGCATCCCTCTGACAACGGGTGGGACAACTCCACCCAGGCAAAGATATCTGAGAACCAGCACGGTAGTCTCCACCCCCAGAAAACTGACTAGAAGAACAGGTGAATGACAAGCTTATGGATGCCACATACTGTAAAACTCCAGCACCACGGGAAAATAATATACTGAGCTCTAGGTGTTTCTCATGAATCATTTATCCTTAGGCTAAAATTTTCCATTTCCTTCTTTCTTTCATTTTTTAACCTTTTCCTGGATTCAACTACATTCTTAAATTTACCAACTTACGTTTTTGTTTGTTTTTGGTATCCACAACACAGGGGGTTTATTCTTTGAGGTGGAGAAATGATAAGTGCCTTCTGTTTTTTCTTCGTTTTTTTTTTGTTGTTGTTGAAAACAAGCTTTATTTTTTTTAATTGTTTTTAATTTTATTATGTTATGTTAGTCACCATACAATACATCATTAGTTTTTGATGTAGTGATCCACGATCCATTGTTTTCGTATAACAACCAGTGCTCCATGCAGTACATGCCCTCCTTAATACCCATCACCGGGCTAACCAATCTCCCCTCCCCCCTCCCCTCTAAAACCCCGTTTTCTTTTTTTTTTAATTATGTTCAGTTAGCCAACAGATAGTACATCATTAGTTTTTGATAGTGTTCAATGATTCATAAGTTGCCTATAACACCCAGTGCTCATCACGACACAAGCCCTCCTCAATAGTCATCACCCAGTTACCCATCAACCTGCCCCCTCCCTTCTGTAGCCCTCACTTTGGTTCCCAGAGTCCAGAGTCTCTCATGGTTTGTCAGCCTCTCTAATATCTTCTCATTCAGTTTTTCCTCCCTTCCCCTGTGGTCCTCCACGCTATTCCTCATGTTCCACATGTGAGTGAAACCAAATGATAATGGTCTTTCTCTGCTTGACTTATTTCATTTAGCATAATGCCCTCCAGTTCCATTCATGTCGATGCACATGGTGGGTCTTCATCCTTTCTAATGGCTGAGTAATATTCCAAATTAACTACATATTCTTAATCCATTCATCTGTTGAAGGGCATCTAGGCTCCTTCCACAGTTTGGCTATCATGGACATTGCTGCTATGAACACTGGGGTAAAAGTGCCCCTTATTTTCACTACATCTGTATCTTTGGATTAAATACCTAGTAGTGCAAATGCTGGGTCATAGGGTAGCTCTATTTTTAAAATCTTGAGGAACCTCCATATTGTTTTCAAAGAGGCTGTACCAGCATACATTCCCACCAACAGTGTAAGAGGGTTCCCCTTTCTCCATAACCTCATCAACATTTGTTGTTATGTGTCTTGTTAATTTTAGCCATTCTAACTGGTGCACGGTGGTATCTCACTGTGGTTTTGATTTGTATTTCCTTGATAACTAGTGATGTTGAACATTTTTTCATGTGCCTGTTAGCCATTTCTATGTTTTCTTGAAGAAATGTCTGTTCATGTCTTCTGCCCATTTCTTGACTGGATTATTTGTTTTTTTGGGGGTGTTGAGTTTGAGAAAATTATAGATTTTAAATACCAGCCCTTTATCTGGAATGTCATATGTAGATATTCTCCCATTCCGTGGGTTGCCACTTAGTTTTGTTGTTTCCATTGCTGTGCAGAAGCTTTTTATCTTGATGAAGTCCCAAAACTTCATTTTTGCTTTTGTTTCCCTTGCCTAGAGACATGTCTTGAAAGAAGTTCTGTGGCCAATGTCAAAGAGGTTAGTGCCTATGTTCTCCTCTAGGATTCTGATGGATTCCTGTCTTACATTGAGGTCTTTCATCCATTTTGAGTTTATCTTTGTGTATGGTGTAAGAAAATGGTCCAGTTTCATTTTTATGCATGTGGCTGTACAGTATTCCCAGCACCATTTATTGAAGAGATTGTCTTTTATCCACTGGATGTTCATTCTTGATTTGTCGAAGATTAGTTGACCACAGAGTTGAGGGTCCCTATCTGGGGTCTCTATTCCGTTCCAATGATATATGAGTCTGTTATTTTTTTGCCAATACCATGCTGTGTTAATGATCACAGCTTTGTAATATAGCTTGAAGTCAGGCATCATAATGTCCTCAGCTTTGGTTTTCTTTCTCAACATGCTCCTGGTGATTCAGGGTCTTTTCTGGTTCCATACAAATTTTAGGATTGTTTGTTCCAGCTCTTTGAAAAATGTCGATGGTATTTTGATAAGGATTGCACTGAACGTGTAGATTGCTCTGAGTAACATAGACATTTTAACAAAGCTTATTCTTCCTGTCCATGAACATGGAATGTTTTTCTATCTCTTTGTGTCTTCCTCAATTTCTTTCATATGCATTCTGCAGTTTCTAGAGTATAGGTCCTTAAACTCTTTGGTTAGGTTTATTCCTAGGTACCTCATGGTTTTCAGTGCTATTGTAAATGGAATTGATTCCTTAATTTCTCTTTCCTCAATTACATTATTAGTGTATAGAAATGCCACTGATTTCTGTGCATTGATCTTGTATCCTGCCACATTGCTGAATTGTTGTATGAGTTCTAGTAATTTGGGGGTGGGGTCTTTTGAGTTTTCCACATAAAATATCATGTCATCTGTGAAGAGTCTGACTTCTTTAACAATCTGAATGCCTTTGATTTATTTGTGTTGTCTGATTGCTGACGCTAGGACTTCTAGTACTATGTTAAACAATAATGGTGAGAGTGGGTATCCCTGTCATGTTCCTAACCTTAAGGGAAAAGCTCTCAGTTTTACCCCATTGAGAATGAATTTGCTGTGGGTTTTTCATAGATGGCTTTTATGATATTGAGGTATGTTCCCTCTATCCCTACACTCTACAGAATTTTAATAAGGAAAGGATGATGTATTTTGTCAAATGCTTTTTCTGCATCAATTGAGAGGATCACATAGTTCTTGTCTTTTCTTTCATTAATGTGTTCTATCACGTTGATGGATTTGTGAATGTTGAACCATCACCTTTGCATCCCAGAAATAAATCCCACCTGGTTGTGGTGAATAATCCTTTCAGGGCACTGTTGGATCCTCTTGGCTAGGATCCTGTTGAGTATTTTGGCATCAGAGTTCTCAGGAAGATTGGTCCATAATTCTCCTTTTTGATGGGGTTTTTGTCTGGTTTTGATATCAGGGTAATGTTGACCTCATATAAGGAGTTCAGAAGTTTTCCTTCCATTTCTATTTTTTGAAACAGCTGCAGTAGACTAGGTATAAATTATTCTTTAAATGTTTGGTAGAATTCCTCTGGGAAGCCATCTGGCCCTGCACTCTTGTGTTTTGGGAGGTTTCTGATTACTGCTTCAATTTCCTTCCTGGTTATGAGTCTGATTAGATTGTCTATTTCTTCCTGTTTCAGTCTTGGTGGTTTATAAGTTTCCAGGAATGTGTCCATTTCTTCTAGATAGCTTAATTTCACTCAGGTCATGATCTCAGCATCCTGGGATCAAGTCCCGTATTGGGCTCACTCCTATGGGGAAAGTATATAGCAATACAAGCCTTCTTCAAGAACCAAGAAAACTCTCAAATAAACACCCTAAGCCCACACCTAAAGAAGCTGGAGACAGAACATCAAAAGTAGCCTACCAAAGGAGGGAAATAATAAGATCAGAGTAGAAATAAATGATATACAAACTAAAAAAAAATTAGAACAGGTCAATGGAATCAGGAGATGGTTCTCCGAAAAAATTAATGAAACTGATAATCGCCTAGCCAGACTACTCAAAAAGAAAAGAGAAAGGACCCAAATAAATAAAATCACAAATAAGAGAAAAGAAATAACAATCAACATCAGAGAAATAAAATTATAAGAATATTATGAAAAACAATATGCGTACACATTGGACAACCTGGAAGACATGAATTAATTCCTAGAAAGATATAAACTACCAAAACTGAAACAGGAAGAAACAGAAAACTTAAACAGCAGGATAACCAGCAAGGAAATTGAATTAGTAATCAACAATCTAATGAGACACAAAAGTCCAGGGCCAGATGGCTTCACAAGTAAATTCTAGCAAACATTTAAAGAAGCGTTAATGCCTATGCTTCTCAAATTATTCCAATAAAATAGAAAAGGAAAACCTCCAAATTCTTTCTATGAAGCCAGCAATACCCTCATATCAAGACCAGATAAAGACTCCACTAAAATACAGAACTAAGGGCCAATATTCCTAATGAACAGATATGCAAAAATTCTCAATAAAATACTAGCAAACTGAATCCAACAATTCATTATAAAAATTAATCACCATGATCAAGGGGGATTTATTCCTTGGTTGTAAGGGTGGTTCAATATTCATAAATCAATCAACATATTACAACACATTAATAAAAGAAACAAGAACCATATGATCCTCTCAATAGATGCAGAAAAATCATTTGATAAACTACAGAATCTATTTATGATTAAAAACCATCAACAAAGTAGGAGTAGAGGGAACATACCTCAACATCATAAAGACCATATATGAAAGACCCACAGCTAGTATCATCCTCAGTGGGGAAAAACTGAGTGTGTTTCCTCTATGGTCAGGAAGAAGACAGGGATGCCCACTCTCACCATTACTGTCTAACATAGTATTAGAAGTCTTAGCCTTGGCAATCAGAGAAAAAAAGAAATAAAAGGCATTCAAATTGGCAAGGAAGCTAGAAAATCACAGAGCTAGAACAAACAATCCTAATATTTGTATGAACCACAAAAGACCCCAAATAGCCAATGCAATCTTGAAAAAGAAAATGAAAGCTGGAAGCATGACAACTCTGGACTTCAAGGCATATTACAATTGCTCTAGTGATCAAAACAGTATGGTAGTGGCAAAAAATTGACACATAAATCAATGGAACAGAATAGAATACCCAGAAATAAACCCACAATTATATGGTCAATTAATCTTCATCAAAGCAAAAAAGAATAACCAGTGGGAAAAAGACAGTCTCTTCAACAAACAGTGTTGGGAAAACTGGACAGCAACATGCAAAAGAATGTAACTGGACTACTTTCTTACACCAAATACAGACATAAATTCAAAATGGATTAAAGACCTAAATGTGAGACATAAAACCATAAATATGCTAGAGGAGATCCCAGCATTCATCTCTTTGACATCAAATATATTCCATACATTCTTTCTATATATGCCTTCTGGGGCAAGGGAAACAAAAGCCAAGATAAACTATTGGGACTTCATCAAAATAAAAAGCTTCTGCACAGTGAAGGAAACAATCACAAAAATAAAGTCACATATTATAATATCAGTACCCAAAAAAGAAATAATCCAAATAAAACATGGGCAGAAGAAATGAAAAGACATTTTTGCAAAGAAGATATATTGATAGTCAAGAGAGAAATGGAAAGATGCTCAACATCCCTCATCATCAGGGAAATGCAAATCAAAACCACTATGATACATTACACCTGTCAGAATGTCTAAAACAAAAACACAAGAAAAACTGCTGGCAAGTATGTGCAGAAAATAGAACACTAATTCCACTGTGGAAACAGTACAGAGGTTTCTCCAAAAATTAAAAATAGCATTATCATATGATCCAGTAATTTCTCCATTGGTATTTACTGATAGAATATGAAAACACTATTTTGACAAAGATATATGCACCCCTATGTTTACTGCAACATACCCAAGTGTGTATCAACCGATGAATGGATAAAGAACGTGTGCTTTATTATTTTATTCTTTTTTAAATTTAAATTCAATTAGCCCACACATAGTACATCATTAGTTTCAGATGTAGTGTTCAATGATTCATCAGTTGCGTATAACACCCAGCACTCATCACATCAGGTGCCCTCCTTAGTGCCCATCACCCCATTACCCCATTGCCCCACCCACCTCCCCCTTCCACAACCCTCAGTTTCTTTCCCAGAGTCAAGAGTCCCTCATGGTTTGTTGCCCTCTCTTATTTAAGAAGATGTGGTTGATATAAACATTGTATTATTTAGCCACAAAGGTGAATGAAATCTTGCCATTTCCAACAACACACATGGAGCTGGAGAATATAATGCTAAGCAAAATAAGTCAGTCAGAGAAAGATAAGTAACATATGATTTCACTCATATGTATAATTTAAGAAACAAAAGAAACAAGGAAAAAGAGACAAACCAAAAACCAGATTAACTATATCTTTTAACAAACATGGTTGTTTATATATATATATATAAACTATATATATTAACAAACATGGTTGACAGAGGGTAGATAGATGGGGAATGGGTCAAACAGGTAAAGGGGATTAAGAGCATACTCATCCTGATGATCACTGAATAATGTATGGAATTGTTTAATCACTATATTGCACACCTGGAACTATGATAACACTGTATGTTAATTATACTGGAATTTAAAAAAAATAATAAAATAAGGAATATTATGAATTGGCTTCACAGAATAAAGTATTTGAAATAATTATAAAATAAGAAAGTAGTATAGGAAGGAGCTTATGTAATGGTATGGAAAAAAACTGGCTAACCTTACATAAAAATGTGCCTAAGGACACTGTGCATGTGAAGCTGCTGAAAAACCCTTCTGAGAGAGAGAAACAGACCAATAGGCAGACTAATAAATACTCCAAGGCAAGAAAATATGATGGTAGAATAGATGCGACAACTCCATTTAATGATGAGCACTTCTATAAACAGGTAAGGTAAAGTACACACAAAATATGCTGCCTGTTAGGTAAACCTAATTCCATCATAATGACGTGTCCATAAAAACATGACTGTTTCCTGGGCCCCTGGGTGGCTCAGGTGGTATAGCATCCGACTCTTGATTTCAGCTCAGGTCATGAACTCATGGTCATGAGATTAAGCTACATGTCAGGCTCGTGATCAGTGTAGAGTCTGCTTGAGATTCTCTCTCTCCCTCTCCCTCTGCCCCTCCTCCCACTCACATGATCTAAATAAATAAATAAATGAAATCTTAAAAAAAAACTTTAAGAAAAAGTTACTGCTGGGAGGGGGGAAAGATGGCGGAGGAGCAGGGGACCCTATTTCAACTGGTCCCCGGAATTGAGCTGGATATCCACCCGACCACTCTGAGCACCCATGAAACCAGCCTGAGATGTAAGAAGATCTGGATCTCTACAAACAGAATATCACAGGCAGTTGGTTTTGAGGTACAAAGTGGGGAGCCGTGATTCTGCGGGCAGATATCGGAGGATAAACAGCAGCGGGAGGGTGCCTGGCTGTGGGGATCCTACACTGCCGGTAAGTAACAGCCTCGTGCGCTGGGGACGGGCACAGACTCGCAGACCGGTAGCGTCGGGAAAGGACTTTAGGGGAGCCCCCGGGGTGGAAAACCAGACCGGCGGGGTCGCGCGCACGCGAACCACAGCCGCCCAGATAGAAACCGGAGCGACGGTCGCGCGCACGTGAACTGCAGCCTCCGAGACGGAAACCAGGTGTGCCAGGGTCCCACCGGTGAACTGCAACCTCTGTGGTGGAAACCCCAAGCGGTGGAGTCACGTGCACCCGAACTGGGAGCGGCTGGCGGTTTTAGAAGCACAAAGGGCAGAGACGTGCCCCGACCTGGAGGCAGGACTGGGAGCGCTGCGGAGGGGCGCACAACCCAGGATGTTGCAGTTTATAGCAGCACGGACAGAAACAGAGATGGTGTGGCCTGGAGAGCTCACTAAAGAACAGACTGCTGTCTCTCTGCTCGGAGGCAGAGGGTTGGAAATGGTCTCTTCTGCTCTGACTCGCGGAAGAGATGCGGAAAGCCACCAGGGAAAGGCGCCAGAGAACAAAAGCCCCGAAGACTGATTCCCACTGAGCCCATCCCCCGCCACAGGGGTGCAGGGCAACTCCGCCCAAACAGGGTCGCCTGAGTAACAGCACGGCAGGCCCCTCCCACAGAAGACAGGCTGGGAAAACAAGAGGCCAACAACCCTAAGGTCCCAAGAAAACAGGTGCATCTTGCTTGGGTTCTGGTCAATAATTTGGACTCTATACATTCCCTCAAACACCCATCAACAAAATGACTAGGAAGAGGTGCCCCCAAAACAGAAAAGACTCAGAGATTATGACTTATGCTGCAGATTTACAAATGGATGCAGATATAACCAAGATGTCGGAGATGGAATTCAGGCTAGCAATTGTGAAGACAATGGCTAGAATGGAGAAATCAATTAATGGCAACATAGAGTCTCTAAGGGCAGAAATGAAAGCTGAATTGACAGAACTTAAAAATGCTATCAATGAGATCCAATCCAATCTAGATAATCTAACAGCTAGGGTAACTGAGGCAGAAGAGCGAATAAGAGACCTGGAAGACAATATAATAGATAAAAAGGGAAAAGAGGAGGCCAGGGAAAAACTGAGAATCCATGAAAATAGAATCAAAGAAATAAGTGACACCATGAGGCGTTCCAATGTCAGAATAATTGGAATCCTGGAGGGAGTGGAGAGAGAGAGAGGACTAGAAGATGTATTTGAGCAAATTGTAGCTGAGAACTTCCATAATCTGGGGAATGAAACAAACATTCGAGTCCTAGAGGCAGAGAGGACCCCTCCTAAGATCAAGGAAAAAAGGCCAACACCCCGGCATGTAATAGTAAAACTTGCAAATCTTAAAACCAAGGAAACCATCTTAAGGGCAGTTAGGGCGAAGAGATTGCTTACGTACAGAGGGAAGAACATCAGAATAACGTCAGACCTATCCACAGAGACCTGGTAAGCCAGAATGGCCTGGCAAGACATATTCAGGGTACTAAATGAGAAGAACATGCAGCAAAGAATACTTTATCTGGCAAGGATTTCATTTAGAATGGATGGAGAGATGCAGAGCTTCCACGACTGGCAGAAGTTGAAAGAATATGTGACCACTAACCAGGCCCTGCAAGAAATATTAAGGGGGGTTCTATAAAAGGAGAAAGACCCCAAGAGTGATCTACAACAGAAATTTACAGGGACAATCTATAAAAACAACATCTTCACAGGCAACATGATGACAATTAATTCATATCTTTCACTAATCACTCTCAACGTGAATGGCCTAACTGCTCCCATAAAACGGCACAGGGTTGCAGATTGGATAAAAAGACAGGACCCATCCATATGCTGTCTACAAGAGACTCATTTTGAACCTAAAGATACATCCAGACTGAAAGTGAAGGGATGGAGATTTATCTCCCATGTCAGCGAACCTCAAAATAAAGCTGGGGTAGCGATTCCTGTATCAGACAAATTAGATTTTAAACTAAATTCTGTAATAAGAGACACAGAAGGACACTATATCATTCTTAAAGGGTCTATCCAACAAGAAGATCTAACAATTGTAAATATCTATGCCCCCAACATGGGAGCAGGCATCTACATAAGCCAACTGTTAACGAAAATAATCAGGGCCCCTGGGTGGCTCAGTCGTTAAGCGTCTGCCTTCGGCTCAGGTCATGATCCCAGGGTCCTGGGATCGAGGCCCACATCGGGCTCCCTGCTCTGCGGGAAGCCTGCTTCTCCCTCTCCCACTCCTCCTGCTTGTGTTCCTGCGCTCGCTACGTCTCTCTCTGTCAAAAAAATAAATAAAATCTTAAAAAAAAAAAAAAAAGAAAAGAAAGAGTCATATTGATAACAAGACGTTAATTGTAGGAGACCTCAATACTCCACTCTCAGCAATGGACAGATCCTCTAAGCAGAAAATCAACAAGGAAACAAGAGCTTTGAATGATATACTGGACCAGATGGACTTCATAGATATCTACAGAACATTCCACCCTAAAACAACAGAATACTCATTCTTCTCGAGTGCACATGGAACTTTCTCCAGAATAGACCATATACTGGGTCACAAATCAGGTCTCAACCGATACCAAAAGATTGAGATTATTGCCTGCATATTCTTAGACCACAATACTCTAAAACTGGAACTCAACCACAAGAAAAAATTTGGCAGAAATTCAAACACTTGGAAGCTAAAGACCACTCTGCTCAAGAATGTTTGGGTCAACCAAGAAATCAAGGAAGAACTTAAACAATTCATGGAAATCAAAGAGAACGAAAACACATCAGTCCAACACCTATGGGATACTGCAAAGGCAGTCCTAAGGGGGAAATACATAGCCATCCAAGCCTCACTCAAAAAAATAGAAAAATCCCGAATTCACCAACTAACTCTACACCTTGAAGAACTGGAGAAAAAGCAACAAATGACCCCTAAGCCACGCATTAGAAGAGAAATAATTAAAATTAGAGCAGAAATCAATGAATTAGAAACCAGAAACACAGTAGATCAGATCAATGAAACTAGAAGTTGGTTCTTTGAAAGAATTAATGAGATTGATAAACCACTGGCCAGACTTATCCAAAAGAAAAAAGAAAGGACACAAATTAATAAAATGATGAATGAAAGGGGAGAGATCACAACTAACACCAAGGAAATAGAAACAATTATTAGAAATTAATATCAACAACTATATGCCAATAAATTGAGCAATCTGGATGAAATGGAGGCCTTCCTGGAAACCTATAAGGTGCCAAGACTGAAACAGGAAGAAATTGACAACCTGAATAGACCAATAACCAGTAACGCGGTTGAAGCAGTGATCCAAAACCTCCCAAAAAACAAGAGTCCAGGGCCTGATGGATTCCCTGGGGAATTCTACAAAACATTCAAAGAAGAAATAATACCTATTCTACTGAAGCTGTTTCAAAAAATAGAAACAGAAGGAAAACTTCCAAACTCATTCTATGAGGCCAGCATTACCTTAATCCCCAAACCAGGCAAAGACCCCATCAAAAAGGAGAATTTCAGACCAATATCCCTGATGAATATGGATTCCAAATTCCTCCACAAAATCCTAGCTAATAGGATCCAACAATACATTCAAAGGATCATCCACCACGACCAAGTGGGATTTATCCCCGGGATGCAAAGGTGGTTCAACTTTCGCAAATCAATCAATGTGATAGAACACATTAATAAGAGGAGAGAGAAGCACCATATGGTCCTCTCAATTGATGCAGAAAAAGCATGTGACAAAATAGAACATCCTTTCCTGATTAAAACTCTCCAGAGTATAGCGATAGAGGGAACTTCTTCAAGCTCATAAAATCCATCTATGAAAAAACCACAGCGAATATCATCCTCAATGGGGAAAAGCTGAGAGCCTTTCCCTTCAGGTCAGGAACATGTCAAGGGTGCCCACTCTCACCACTGTTGTTCAACATAGGCCTAGCAACAGCAATCAGACAACAAAAAGAAATAAAAGGTATTCAAATTGGCAAAGAAGAAGTCAAACTCTCTCTTTTTGCAGACAACATGATACTTTATGTGGAAAACCCAAAAGACTCCACCCCCAAATTACTAGAACTCATCCAGCAATTCAGTAATGTGGCAGGATACAAAATCAATGCACAGAAATTAGTTGCTTTCTTATACACTAACAATGCAACTGTAGAAAGAGAAATTAAAGAAACGATTCCATTTACAATAGCACCAAAAACCATAAGATACCTCGGAATAAACCTAACCAAAGAGGTAAAGGATCTATACTCTAGGAACTACAAAACACTCATGAAAGAATTGGAAGAAGACACAAAAAGATGGAAAAATATTCCATGTGCATGGATCGGAAGAATAAACATTGTTAAAATGTCTATGCTACCCAAAGCAATCTATACCTTCAATGCCATCCCGATCAAAATTCCAATGACATTTTTCAAAGTCCTGGAACAAACAATCCTAAAATTTGTATGGAATCAGAAAAGACCCCGAATCGCCAAGGAGATGTTGAAAAAGAAAAACAAAGCTGGGGGCATCACATTGCCTGATTTCAAGCTATATTACAAAGCTGTGATCACCAAGAGAGCATGGTACTGGCACAAAAACAGACATACAGACAAATGGAACAGAATAGAGAACCCAGATATGGACCCTCAACTCTATGGTCAAATAATCTTTGACAAAGCAGGAAAGAACATGCAATGGAAAAGACAGTCTCTTCGATAAATGGTGCTGGGAAAATTGGACAGCCACATGCAGAAGAATGAAACTCGACCATTCTCTAACAGCATTCACAAAGATAAACTCAAAGTGGATGAAAGACCTCAATGTGAGACAGGAATCCATCCAAATCCTAGAGGAGAACATAGGCAGTAACCTCTTTGACATCGGCCACAGCAACGTCTTTCAAGATACATCTCCAAAAGCTAGTGAAACAAAAGCAAAAATGAACTTTTGGGACTTCATCCAGATCAAAAGCTTCTGCACAGCAAAGGAAACAGTCAACAAAACAAAGAGGCAACCCACAGAATGGGAGAAGATATTTGCAAATGACACTACAGATAAAGGGCTGGTATCCAAGATCTATAAAGAACTTCTCAAACTCAACACCCAAAAAACAAATAATCAAGTCAAAAAGTGGGCAGAAGATATGAAAAGACACTTCTCTGAAGAAGACATACAAATGGCTAACAGACACATGAAAAAATGTTCATCATCATTAGCCATCAGGGAAATCCAAATCAAAACCACACTGAGATACCACCTTACACCAGTTAGAATGGCCAAAATGGACAGGGAAAGAAACAACAAATGTTGGAGAGGTTGTGGAGAAAGGGGAACCCTCTTACACTCTTGGTGGGAATGCAAGTTGGTACAGCCAGTTTAGAATACAGTGTGGAGGTGCCTCAAAAAATTAAAAATAGAGCTACCCTATGACCCAGCAATTGCACTCCTGGGTATTTACCCCAAAGACACAGATGTAGTGAAAAGAAGGGCCATATGCACCCCAATGTTCATAGCAGCCATGTCCGCATAGCCAAACTGTGGAAAGAGCCGAGATGCCCTTCAACAGACGAATGGAGAAAGAAGATGTGGTCCATATATACAATGGAATATTACTCAGCCATCAGAAAAGATGAATACCCAAATTTACATCAACATGGATGGGACTGGAGGAGATTATGCTAAGTGAAATAAGTCAAGCAGAGAAAGTCAATTATCATATGGTTTCACTTATTTGTGGAACATAAGGAATAACATGGAGGACATTAGGAGAAGGAAGGGAAAAATGGGCGGGGGGAATTGGAGGGAGAGATGAACCATGAGAGACAATGGACCTGAGAAACAAACAGGGTTTTAGAGGGGAGGGGGGAGGGGGGATTGGTTAGCCCAGTGATGGGTATTAAGGAGGGCACGTACTGCATGGAGCACTGGGTGTTATACGAAAACAATGGATTGTGGATCACTACATCAAAAACTAATGATGTATTGTATGGTGACTAACATAACATAATAAAATTAAAAAAAAAAAAGAGAAAGAAAGAAAAAGTTACTGCTTCCTAAGGGAAAAGAGAAAAGTACCTGCCTAGCTATCTATGACATCAGCATAGGGCAAAGCCTTACATTCTTCAATCTCCTGAACAAAACTCAGTAACAAAAAATTAAAAGTTAAAGTTATAGAACAAAATGACACCATGTGCCTCCTGACACAATACACTGAGAACCAAACATCATTTCAGTGATATTCCTTGACAAAACGCATAATCTGAATATAATCATGAAGAAACATCACAAAAACTGAAATTCCAGGACATTCTATAAAATGACTGTTATCATCTTCAAAACTATTTTTTTACACAAAGTCTAAGAAACTACTGCAATTGAAGCAAACTAAACAAACATAATAGCTCAAGACAACATGATTAGGGATTGGATCCTGGACCAAATTCTTTTATTTTTTTTAATAAATCGCACTTAATGGTATAATTGGTGAAAAAAGAATATGGTTTTAGGAAACACATACTGAATTACATAGGATTCATGAGGCAACTTATTGTCCAATGGTTTAAAAAAATGTATGTACACATATATGCATATAAGTATATTAAGTATAAATATAAAAAATAAAAATACAAGCAATGGTATTTCCTGATATTTATCCAAAGGAGTTGAAAACATGTCTACACAAAAATTTGCAGGTAGATGTGTATAGAACTTTATTCATAATTGCCAAATCTTAGATGCAACCAAGTGTCCTTCAGTAGGTGAATGGATAAATAAACTGCTACATTCAAACAATGGAATGTTATTCTGAAATGAAATGAGGTATCAAACCATGAAAAGACATGGAGAAACCTTAAATGCATATTACTAATGGACATAAGCCAATCTGAAAGGCCATATACCTTACGATTCCAATTATTCATGTTCTGGTAAAGGTAAAACTATGAACACAGTAAAATGATCAGTGGTTGCCAGAGGCATGGAGGAAGGGGTGAATAGGAAGAACACAGAAGCCTTCTGAGGCAGTGAAAATACTCTATATGACACTATAATGAGATTACATGTCATTATTCATTTTTCCAAGCCCAAAGAATGTTTAACACCAAGAGTGAAATAATGTAACTATGGACTTTGGGTGATTATTGTATGTCAGTATAGGTTCATTAATTGTGACAAATGTACCACTCTGGTAGGGAATGTTCATTAACAGGGAAGGCTATGCATGTGTAGGTGTAAGGGATATATAAGAAATCTCTATGTGTTCTTCTCAAATTTGCTGTGAATGTAAAACTGCTCTTAAAAAAATCTTTAAAAAGGGTGAAACAAACTTAGCATTATCAATAATGAATGGGATAAACCAGTCTGTGCTTCCTGATGTGATGCAAGGACACAGCATCACCTATGTAGTCTTTTTGCTAAAAATGCTTAAATTAATCATGGAGAAACAGACAAGCTCAAATTGTGGCACATATGCAGGACAACTGCCTGGACTCATGAGAACTGCCAATATTTTGAAAAAATTTTAAGAAGGGATGAGGTGATGCTATTCTAGATTTAAAAAGTTTAAAGGGGCATTACAACTAAATACAGTGCATGATCCTTGACTGGATCCTGTAACAAAACAAATAAAAAACTTTGAAAGATACTGTCAAGACAATTTTGAAACTTTGGGACAGTATGTTAGATAACAGAATTGTATCAGTGTTAAATTTCTCTGAATGTGATGGAAGTAATGCCCTTGTTCTTGAGAAATAATGAAGTGAAGTGTTCAAGGCTGAAGTGTCATAATATCTGCAGGTTACTTCCAAATGGTTCAGCAATACATACATATTATTATAATTATATATAATAACATATAATATTAATACATAACATAAAAACATGTATACATTTATAAAGAAAGAAATTATATGTAGCAAAATAAAAAATGGATGGATCTAAATGAAGGATGTCTTTTGACTTTTCTGTAGAGTTGAAATTTTATAAAATAAAAAAAACCCGAAGAAAAATAATGTTTTCATATATAAAGCTTATCCTCACTGCTAATTATAAATTCTGCTGGTAAATTCACAAATAAATCAATGCATTCACTGTATTTTTTTTTTTTGCAGAACATATTCTGAAAAATAAAAGAAAAAAAGAGTAATTAAAAGAACTGAAAAAGAAATACCATCCAAAGAAAAGTATATTAAATAAAAAAGACTTTAAATGTAAAAAGTAAAATGGGTCACTCAAATGATAATAGATGCATGTATTTTAGACTTGTATGGACATAATAACAAAGTGTCAAATATACAAAGCAAAAATTATAGAACTATAATAATTTGACAAATCCACCATCAAAGAGGGGGATTTTAAATTTACCTCTTTCAGCAACTGATAGATCTAGGAAATAAACAAAATTAATAGGGATATAGAAGACAGATAAACAATACAATGAATTTAATGGAACTTATAGAACTCCACATTCAACAGGTAGAATATACAAAATCTTTTCAGGCACATATGAAACACTTATAAATTGATCATGTTTTCTAGAACATAAGGCAAATCTCAAATATTAAATAAACAGTATCATATAAACCATGTTATCTGTACTAAGTAAAATTAAACGAGAAGAATAACAAAATGTGAAACTAAAAAATATCCATGTACCCATGTCTTGGTTTCTAAATAGTGCACCCCACTTAAAGGAATCACAGCTCCACATAGAAAGAGTCAATAAGGCAGGGAATAAAAGATAAGCCTGAAAGTAAGGAACTAAGAAAATGTTGATGTCAAAGTATCAGAATGATGGGAGCAGATCAAATGGACAGAGAAGCCAGCTTGAATGGATTGCCATTGGTTAAATCTGAGATAATTTGAGCATTAAAATAAATAATGATAGCAATAAGGTATGCATGAAATAAAGGAAAAATGAACAAGTCCAAAATAATGTAAAAAGTAGACAGAAGTAGAAGTAGAATACAAATTTATATCTGTAGCAAAAATGATGGAATTTCAAAATTACCATATTGCAGCCATCATACTAATAACTGTTTCAGTCAAGATTTACCAATGGATATTAAAACCAGTGGATTTTGGAGGGAGGAGTTAAGATGGTGGAGCAGTAGGGGGACTCTAAGGTTGTGCCCTCCCTCAAATACAGCTAGATACTTATCAAATCATTATGAACACCCACAACATCAATCTGATGAAACAAAAATTGCAAGTCTATGAGTAGAAAAGTGACTACATTTGGAAGATTAAGAGTTGCAGAGAGTGGACTTGGGGGAGATACAGCTGTGGATACCATGGCAGGGAGGGAGCCCTGTTTACAGAGGCCACGGCAAAGTACTATAAGGAGCACAGTGCAAAATCTGAACCTCTAAAGTCCGCTACCATGGGGGAATGACCCTAGCTTAAAGGTGCTCAGGTGGGAAAGTAGGTCAGAACCCCAGGAGAGACAATGTGGTCTAAGGATCCCCTGGGTCATAAGAAGACCAGGTGGCACCAACGTGCTGCACTGTTCCCAGACATAGGAGAGGGGAATCCTGCTTAGCCGGTCTTTGTACAGGCTTTCTGCTCTGTTTTGCTATAAACTACGAACCGCAGAGTGGTCGTGAGACTATGTTCCTGGATTGGCCAGCAAACAGCAAAAGTGCAGCAAGACCCTCCACCAGAGCAACAAGACAGGTCCACAACACAGGAGTCCCTAAAATTTGCAGTTTTGGAACTCAGTCGTGTACCTGACATGAAAAAACTTGGACACAGGTGGGGTGAACACAGGGTTCTGACGGAAACTGGAGACATCAGAAGAGTGGTTGACTGTTCTTCTTTGAAGGTTCACTGAAGAGTGGGGGGCTTGAACATTCAGCTCCAAGGCTAGACATCAGGGCGCCACCATTTTCATCCTGCCCATCAGTGCTGTAAGCCTTCATGAAGAAAAGCAACACCACATAGTGGAGGCTGGAATCGCCTGCACCAAGCCCCAACCCCCAGCACCCTCGAAGCAGATCCACCTGAATACCAGCACAACAGGCACCTCCCCCAAAAGATAAACACAAACACCTCCCTCTCACCAAATCTACTGATCACTGAGTACTGCAAAGTTTAGCTCTAAGGGAAATAGGATCTTGCTTCCTTTTTAGTTTTATTCTTTATTATTTCTTCATTTATTTTCTTATTTTCTTCAATACCTTCTCTAACTCATTATTATTTTTTTAATTTTTATTTGTGTATTATATAAATATGTTTCGTTATTTTTTGTTTACTTTCATTTTATTTCATTATTTTCGGGGGTGTCTAGATTCTTTTAACAATGAGACCAACACACCCAGGATCTAGTCTTTTTGTTTTTTGCTTTTTCTTTCTTCTTTTCTTTTCTGAACAAAATGATGAGACAGAGAAATTCACCAAAGAAAGAACAGGAAGTAGAACTCACGGCCAGGGATTTAATCAATAGAGATATAAGTAAGAGGTCTGAACTAGAATTTTAAACAGAGATTATAAGGATACTAACTGGGCTTGATAAGAAGATAGAAGACAATAAAGTATCCCTTACAGCAGAGATAAAAGAACTATAATCTAGTCACCCCCCAAATTAAAATGCCTTAACAGAGATTGAAACCAGAATGGATGCCATAAAAGCAAAGATGGATGAAGTGGGGGAAGGAGTCAGTGATACAGAAGATAAAATTATGGAAAATAATGAAGCTGAAAAGAAGAGGAAAAGAAAGTAATGGACCACGAAGGTAGGCCGACGAAGGTAGACTTAGGGAACTCAGTGACTTATTAAAAGGTAGTAACATTCGTATCATAGGAGGCCCAGAAGATGAAGAAAGAGAAAAACGGGCAGAAGGATTATTCGACCAAATTGTAGCTGAAAGCCTAATCTGGGAAAGGATGCAGACATCAAAATCCAAAATGGACAGAGAACTCCCATTAAATTAAAAAAATGCTGAATGGGGCGCCTGGGTGGCTCAGTCGTTAAGCGTCTGCCTTCAGCTCAGGTCATGATCCCAGGGTCCTGGGATTGAGCCCTGCATCGGGCTCCCTGCTCGGCGGGAAGCCTGCTTCTCCTTCTCCCACTCCCCCTGCTTGTGTTCCCTCTCTTGCTGGGATCAATAAAATCTTTAAAAAAAAAATGCTGAACATTACCAAGGCATATAATAGTCACATTCACAAAATACATAGACAGTGAAAGAATCCTGAAAGCAGCAAGGGAAAGAAAGTCCTTAACCTACAAGAAAAAACAGATCAGGTTCACAGCAGATCTGTCCAGAGAAACATGGAAGACCAGAAGGCAGTGGCAGGAAACATTCAACGTGCTAAATGTGAAAAATATGCAGCCAGGAATTCTCTACCCAGCAAGGCTGTCAATCAGAACAGGAGAGATAGTTTCCCAGACAGAGAAAAACTAGAGTTAGTGACCACTAAGCCAGCAGTGCAAGAAATTTTAAGGTGCACTGTTTCAGTGTAGAAAAAAAAACCAAAAGCAACAAAGACTAGAAAGGACCAGAGAACATCACCAGAAATACCAACAGTACAGATAACACAAAGCACTAAATTCACATCTTTCAATAATCACTCTGAATGTAAATGGACTAAAGGCTCCAATAAAAAGATACAGGGTAACAGAATGGATTAAAAAAAAAAAAAAAAGACCCATCTATATACTACTTACAAGAGACTCATTTTAAACTTAATGACACCTGCAGGTTTAAAGTGAGGAGATGGAGAACCCTCTATCATGCTAATGGACATCAAAACAAAACTGGAGTAACCATATTTACATCAGACAAACTAGACTTTAAACCAAAGACTTTAACAAGAGATGAAGAAGGACACCATCTAAAAATTAGGAGGTCTATCCAACAAGAAGATTTAACATCTATAAATATTTATGCCCCCAACTTGGGAGCACCCAAATATATACATCAATTAATAATAAAAAGAAACTCATTGATAATAATACAATAGTAGTAAGGGGTTTTAACACCACACTAACAGCAACAGACATATCATGTAAGCAGATAATCAACAAGGAAAGAATAGCTTCAAATGACACACTGAAGTGGATGCACTTAACAGATATATTCAAACCCTTTCAACCTAATTCAGCAGAAAACAGAAGCTTTTCAAGTGCACATGGAACATTCTCCAGAATAGATCACGTATCTATAGGTCACAAATCAGGCCTCAACAAGTACAAAAAGATCAATATCATATCATACATATTGTCAGGCAACAACTTTATTTTTTTTGAAGATTTTATTTATTTGACAAAGAAAGACACACAGAGAGAGGGAACACAAGCAGGGGGAGTGGGAGAGGGAAAAGCAGGTGTCCCGTTGAGCAGGGAGCCTGATGAGGGACTCGATCCCAGGACTCTGGGATCATGATCTAAGCCTAAGGCAGACAGTTAACAACTGAGCCACCCAGGCGTCCCCAGGCAACAACTTTATAAAAGCTGAAGTCAACCACAAGAAAAACTATAAAAAGGCCTTCGATACATAGAGGTTAAAGAACATCTTACTAAAGAATGAATTAATCAACCAGGAAATTAAAGAAGACATTAAAGAAGTACATGGAAGCAAATGAGAATGAAAACACGACAGTCCAAAACCTTGGGATGTACCAAAGGCAGTCCTAAGAGGGAAGTATACTGCAATACAGGCCTATCTCAAGAAGCAAGAAACATCTCAAATACACTACCTAAACTTACATCTAAAGGAGCTAGAAAAAGAACAGCAAGTAAAGCCTAAAGCCAGGAGAATAAGAGAAATAACAATGATTAGAGCAGAAATAAATCATATAGAAACAAACAAACAAGAAAGAACCCAAGTAGAACAGATGAAAGAAAGAGATGGTTCTTTGAAAAAAAAAATAATAAAATTGATAAGTGCCTAGCCAGACTTATCAAAAAGGAAAGATAAAGGACCCAAATAGAAAAAAAATCATGAAAGAAAGAGGAGAGATAGTATCCAACACCACAAAAATACAAATAATCATAGATTATATTATGAAAAATTGTATGCCAACAAAATGGGCAATCTGGAAGAAATGGACAAATTGCTAGAAACATAAAAACTACTGAAACTGAAACAGAAGAAATAGAAAATTTGAAAAGACCCATAACCAGGAAAGAAATTGAAAGAATATTGAAAATTTTGAAAGTAATTAAAAATCTCCCAACAAACAAGACCAGGGAGAGATGGCTTCCCAGAGGAATTCCACCATACATTTAAGGAAGAGATAATACCTATAATTCTCAAATTGTTCCAAAAAATAGAAATGAAAGGAAAACTTCCACATTCCTTCTACAAGGCTAGCATTACCTTGATTCCAAAACCAGAAAAAGACTCCAGTAAAAAGGAGAATTACAGGCCAATATCCCTGGTGAATATGGATGCAAAAATTCTCAAGAAGGTACTAGCAAATCAAATCCAACAGTACATTAAAAGGACTATTTACCACGATCAACTGGAATTTATTCTTGGGTTGCAGGGGTGGTTCAATATTCAAAAATCAATCAATGTGATACAACACATTAATAAACGAAAGGATAAGAATCAGATAATCCTGTCAATAGAGGCAGAAAAAGCATGACAAAATACAGCTGCAATTCTTTTTTTTTTTTTTTTTTTTTTTTTTTTTTTTTAGATTTTATTTATTTATTTGACAGAGAGAGAGACAGCGAGAGAGGGAACACAAGCAGGGGGAGTGGGAGAGGGAGAAGCAAGCTCCCCGCCGAGCAGGGAGCCCGATGCGGGACCCGATCCCAGGACCCTGGGATCATGACCTGAGCCGAAGGCAGTCGCCCAACCAACTGAGCCACCCAGGCGCCCCTACAGCTGCAATTCTTAATAAAAACACTCAACAAAGTAGGGATAGAAGAAATATACCTCAACATCATAAAGGCCATATACGAAAGACCCACAGTTAACATCATCCTCAAAGGGGAAAAACTGAGAGCGTTTCCTCTATGGTCAGGAACAAGATACAGATTTCCACTCTCACCATATTTAACATAGTACTGGAAGACATAGCTTCAGCAGTCAGACAAGAAAAAGAAATAAAAGGGCATCCAAATGGGTAAGGAAGAAGTCAAACTTTCAGTATTTGCAGACAACATGATACTCTATGTGAAAGACTCCACCAAAAAATTGCTAGAACTAATATATGAATTCAGCAAAATCATAGGATAGGAAATCAACATACAGAAATCTGTTGCATTTCTATACAGCAATAATGAAGAAAGAGAAAAAGAAATCAAGGAATCAATCACATTACAATTGCACCAAAAACCATGTGATACGTAGGATGAAACTTAACCAAAGAGTTCAAGGATTTATACTCTGAGAACTACAGAACACTTATGAAAAAAATTGGAGAGTACACAAAGAAATGGAAAAGCATTCCACATTCAGGGACTGGAAGAACATTGTTAAAGTGTCTATACTAGGGCTCCTGGGTGGCTCAGTTGGTTAAGAGTCTGCCTTTGGTTGCGATCATGATCCCAGGGTCCTGGGATCAAGCCCTGCTTCGGGCTCCCTGCTCAGCGAGGCATCTGCTTCTCCCTTCTCCCTCTGTCCCTCCCCCTGCTTGTGCTCTTTCTCTCTCTCTTCCTCTGTCTCTCTCTCTCTGATAAATAAATAAAGTCTATAGTACCCACAGCAATGTACACATTCAATGCAATCCTTATCAAAATACCCTCAACATTTTTCACAGAGCTGAAACAAACAATCATAAAATTTGTATGGAACCACAAAAGACCCAGGATAGTCAAAGGAATGTTGAAAAAGAAAGCCAAAGTGAGAGGCATCAGAATTTTAGACTTCAAGCTGTATTACACAGCTGTAGCCATCAAGACAGTGTGGTACTGGCACAAAAACAGACACATCGATCAACTGAACAGAACAGAAAACCCAGAAATGGACCCTCAACTCTATGGTCAATTAATCTTCGACAAAGAAGGAAAGAATATCCAATTGAAAAAAGACTATCTCGGGCGCCTGGGTGGCTCAGTTGGTTAAGCGACTGCCTTCGGCTCAGGTCATGATCCTGGAGTCCCGGGATCGAGTCCTGCATCAGGCTCCCTGCTCGGCAGGGAGTCTGCTTTGCCCTCTGACCCTATCCCCTCTCATGTGTTCTCTCTCATTCTCTCTCTCTCAAATAAATAAATAAAATCTTTAAAAAAAAAAAAAAGAAAAGAAAAGAAAAGAAAAGGGCACCTGAGTGGCTCAGTCGTTAAGCGTCTGCCTTCGGCTTGGGTCATGATCCCAGGGTCCTGGGATCGAGTCCCACATCGGGCTCCCTGCTCGGCGGGAAGCCTGCTTCTCCCTCTCCCACTCCCCCTGCTTGTGTTCCTGCTCTCGCTATGTCTCTCTCTGTCAAAAAAATAAATAAAATCTTAAAAAAAAAAAGAAAAAGAAAAAAGACTATCTCTTCAAAAAATGGTGTTACAAAAATTGGACAGCCACATGCAGAGGAATGAAACTGGACCACTGTCTTATACAACACATAAAAATAAATCAAAATGGATGAAATACCTAAATGTGAGAAAGGAACCTATCAAAATCTTAGAGAACACAGGCAGCACCTTCTGACCCCGGGCATAGCAAATTCTTACTAGACACGTCACCAGAAGCAAGGGAAATAAAAGTAAAAATGAACTAATGGGACTTCAAGATAAAAAGCTTCTGCATAGCGAAGGAAAAAATCAAGAAAACTAAACGGCAGCCTACAGAATGGGAGAATATATTTGCAAATGACAGACAATAAAGGGTTAGTATTCAAAATCTATAAAAAACTTATCAAACTCAATACCCACAAAACAATTAATCCAGTTAAGAAATGGGCAAAAGACATATATAGACACTTTTCCAATGAAGACATCCAGATGGCCAAAAGACACATTAAAAATGCTCAGCATCGGGCGCCTGGGTGGCTCAGTCGGTTAAGCGACTGCCTTTGGCTCAGGTCATGATCCTGGAGTCCCGAGATCGAGTCCCGCATCGGGCTCCCTGCTCAGCGGGGAGTCTGCTTCTCCCTCTGACCCTCCTCCCTCTCGTGCTCTCTGTCTCTCATTCTCTCTCTCGCAAATAAATAAATAAAAAAATCTTAAAAAAAAAATGCTCAGCATCACTCAACATCAGGGAAACACAAATCAAAATCACTATGAGATATCACCTCTCACCTGTCAGAATGGCTAAAATTAACAACACAAAAAACAACAGGTGTTGGTAAGGCTGTGAAGAAAGGGGAACACTCTTGTACTATTGGTGGGAATATAAAGTTGTGCAGACACTCAGGAGAACAGTATGGAGGTTCCTCAAAAGTTTGAAAATAGAACTCCCCTATGATCCAGCTATTGCACTACTAGGTATTTAACCAAAGGATAGAAAAATACAGATTCAAAGGGACACATGCTCCCTGATGTTGATAGCAGCATTATCAACAATAGCCAAACTATGGAATGAGTCCAAATGTCCACTGACTGATGAACGGATAATGAAGACGTGGTGTGTGTGTGTGTTTATGTGTACATATATATACACATATACACACACAATGGAATATTATTTACCCTTCAAAAAGAATGAAATCTTGCCATTTCCAATGACGTGAATGGAGGTAGAGTATATTATGCTAAACGAAATAAGTCAGAGAAAAACCAGTAACATATGATTTTGCTCAGATGTGGAATTTAAGAAACAAAACAGTTGAACATATGGGAGGGGCAATAAAAAATAAAAAGAAAGAGGGAAACAAACTATAAGAGACTCTTAAAGATAGAGAACAAACTGAAGGCTGAGGGAGGAGGTGGTGGGGTATGGGCACTTGTTATGATGAGCACTGGGTGTTGTATGTAAGTAATGAGTCACTGAATTGTATTCCTGAAACCAATACTGTACTATATGTTGACTAACTAGAATTTAAATAAAAATCTGAAAAGAAACAAAATTAAGTATTATCATATGATTCAGCAAGTCCCCTTTAGGTATATATATGAAGGAAATAAAATCACTAATCTTGAAGAGACACATGCACCCCCAGTTCACTGCATCATTATTTACAATAAGCAAGACATGGAAACAACCTAGGTCTCCACTGACAGATGAAAAGATAAAGAAAATACAATGTAAATATAAAAATGATATATTACTCAGCCATAAGAAATCCTGCCATTTCCAACCCAATGGATAAAACTTGAGGGCATTATACTAAGTGAATTATGTTAGATAGAGAAAAACACTACATGATCTTACTTATACATGGAATCTTACTAAAAAGAAAACAAACTCATAAATACAGAGAGTACATTGGTAGTTTCCAGAGATTGGAGGGTGGGAGAAATTGGTGAAAGTGGTCAAAGGGTATAAACTTTCAGTTGTAACATGAGTAAGTTCTGGATATCTAATACATATATAGCATGATATACATTATACTATAGTTAATAATATAGTTATAGTATACATATTTATTACAATTATAGTTATAGTATAGTTAACATTATAGTTTAATGACTATAATTAACAATACTATATTGTATACTTAAAAGTTGCTGAGAGTAGATATTAATAGTTCTCACCACACAGTGGTCACCTGGTTGGCTCAGTCGGTTAAGCGTCCCAACTCTTGAGTTCGGCTGAGGTCATGATCTCAGGGTCAGGAGATTGAGCCCTGCACTGGGCTCTGTGTTGAGCATGGAGCCTGCTTAAAATTCTCTCCCTTTCTCTCTGCCCCTCCCGCTCGCGTGCTCTCTCTCTCTAAAAAAATAATTAAAAAAAAAAAAGTTCTCACCACAGAGGAAAAAAAATGATAACTGTGTGAGATGACTGTGAAAACTTATTGTGGTAATTATTTTGTAATATATAGATAGAGCAAATCACCTTACTGTATACCTTAAACTTGCAACAATGTTAGATGCCAAATATATTTCAATAAAGCTAGACAAAAAAGAACTATTTATATAGCTTGCATTGTCCATTTGAAATATATGTTCTTCCAAACACATCCCTTTTTCATTGATTATAATTGGATAATCTTGAAAATAAAGGTTTATGAAACAAAAACTGGAACAATGTCAAATTTCTATTTTGACACATGTACTGAGTTTATTTAAGAGAAAGTCATCCTTCTGAAGAAATATGCACTGAAGTATTTCCCAGTAAACGAGCATGATATCTGCTAGGAACTCTTAAATAGCTCAGAGAGAGGAAGAGGGGGAAGGGCAGAGGAAGAGGGGAAGGTAGAGGAGAGGAGATGGGTGGGGGAGGAGTAAAGGAAAAAAGAGCAGGGAGAGGGAGAAGGGTATGACAGGGAGAAAAAGAAATAGAGAATAAAAAAAGCAAACATAGATAAATGTTAACTGGTGGATCTGGGTAAAGAGTATATGGGAGTTCTTTGTAATATTCTTTTTTTTTCTAACAATTTTTTTGAATTGTAAAATTAGATCAAAATAAAAAGTTTAGAGAAGGATGAGTTAAGATGGTGGAGTAGTTGGGGGACCCTATGCTTGCCTTGTCCCTTGAACACAGATAAATATAAAATCATTCTGAACACCCAAGAAATTGCTCTGAGGACTGAGAACAAACTGCACATGTAGAGGGAGAAAAGCAGCCACACCATGGAAGGTAGGAGCTGCAGACAGTTGATTTGGGGGAGAAGAGAATTGCAGGTGCTTCGGAAGGGAGGGAGGCCTTATCACAGAGCGAGGATCAAGAGAGAAAGAGAGAGAGAGAAACCAACATGCAGGGGATTACACAAGAAACACACTTCCCCAAAACCACTGACTGTGAAAAGGAGAGGGGCTGATTATTTTTTGTTTTTACAAGCAGTGGAGCTCAAAGTCTGAAGTTTCAGAAGTCTGTGCCATCGCTGGGGTTGTGCCAGGCGGGCACAGTAGTGTTCGTCTAGGGAAGAGGGTAGAGGCCCAGAAGTGGACAGCATGGTCTGAGGATACCCTCGTTTGCACCGGGAGAGACAGTTCCCCTCTTTGGGAGAGGTGGCATAACCTGAAAGGGGATGAAACAGACAATGGGCACCATTGAGCAGCACTGTTAATTAGCAAACTAGCAGAGGAACCTGCTGAAGGCAGCTAACCTGGATGCCGGCTTTTGGCTGAGGTCTACCATAAATGCCAAACCCCTGCACAGTCATGCAGCTGCTTTTCTGGGACAAACTGACCTGAGCCACAGTGTGGCGAGACCTTCCCCAGAGAATCAATGTGGGTTTGCACCTTCCCAGGTTCCTAAAATTTGTTGGAGTTTTGAAACCCAGCTGCACCCCTGAAATAAAACACAGGAATACTGTGCCACCAGACAGGTGGAATGCACAGACACAGACAGGGTTCTGATGGAATCTTGGGACATACAGGGGGAGATAGTTCGCTCTTCTGTGTTGGCTTCCTGAACAGGAGCAGGCATGAACTCCCCTCTTTGGGGACATGAGAGTGGGGTGAGGCCATTTCCCTCCCATCCATCAGCACAGACAGACTTCAGTGAACAAACAACACAGCACCCCCAGAGGAAGCTGCAGTTGCTTATAACAATCCCCACCCCACTGTACCTTGCAGATGCATCTCCACTAGGCCAAGTCCACCTGAGAACCAGCACAGCAGGCCCCTCCCCCAGAAGACCAGCACAAACCCCCTGCACAAAGTCTACTGATCATAGAGTACTGGAAAACTTCAGCTTTGCGGGAAATAGGATCTAGCCATTTTTAACAAGCACATCAAAACACACCTAGTTAAAACCCACCACTCAATGTCCAACGTCCAAACACTCCCCACTGCAGGCAAGGAGAAACTCTGCAGAGGACTGACCTAAGTGAAGGAGCAGCCAAAACAGAGCAGCAGAGTACACACAAAATACACCAAAAAAACCTTCCTGAAGTGCCAAGCTCTGGACAGTATATAATCTTTCTTAATTTAGCCATTACTCTCAGGAGCAGGAAATGTAACAGTTCTTTCTGAACACACAGAAGATAGAGATCTAAGCAAAATGTCAAGACAGAGGAATCTATCCCACAAGAAAGACCAAGAGGTAATGGCCACTGATCTAATCAAAACAGTTATAAGTAATATGCCTGAACAACAATCTTAAGGATGCTAGCTAGACTTGAGAAAAAGCATAGAATACACTAGGGAATACTTTACAGCAGAGATAAAAGATCTACAAACTAGTCAGGCAAAAATAAAAAAAGCTATAACCAAGATGCACAACCAACTGGATGTAATGACCACAAGGATGGAAGAAGCTGAGAAATGAAATCAGTCATATAGAAGATAAAATTATGGAAAATAATGAAGTTGAAAAGAAGAAGGAAAGAAAAATACTGGATCATGAATGTAGACTTAGGGACTCAGTGACTCCATAAAGTGTAATAACATTTGTATCATAGCAGTCCCAGAAGAAGAGAAGGGAAAAGGGGCAGAAAGTTTATTTGAGAGAATTATAGCTGAAAACTTCCTAATCTGGAGAAGGACACAGACATCAAAATCCAGGAGGCACAAAGAACTACCATCAAAATCAACAAAAGCAAGCCAACACCAAGATACAGCATGGTGAAATTTACAAAACACACAGATAAGGAAAGAATCTTGTAAGCAGCAAGGGAAAAAAATTCCTTAACCTAGAAGAGAAAACAAATCAGCTTTGGATCAGATGGATCCACAGAACCTTAACAGGCCAGAAGAGAGTGGCATGATATACTCAATGTGCTGAATGGGAAAAATATGCAGCCAAGAATTCTTTATCCATTAAGGCTGTCATTCAGAATAGAAGAAGAGATAGAGTTTCCGAGACAAACAAAAACTAAAGGAGTTCATGGCCACTAAGCCAGCTGTGAAAGAAATTTTAAGGGGGACTGTGTGAGTGGAGAAAAAAAGACGAAAAGCAACAAAGACTAGAAAGTAACAGAGAAAATATCCAGAAACACCAACTTTACAGTTAATACAATGGCACTAAATTCATATCTATCAATAATCAATCTGAATGGAAATGGACTATATTCTCCAATCAAAAGACAAAAGGTATCAGAATGGATAAAAAAAAAAAACAAAACCTATCTATATGCTGCTTAAAGAAGACTCATTTTATAACTAAAGACACCTGCAGATTCAAAGTGAGGGGATGGAGAGCCTTTCATCATGCTAATGGATGTCAAAAGAAAGCCAGAGTGGCAATACTTATACCAGAAAACTAGATTTTAAACCAAAGACTGTGAGAAGAGATGAAGAAGGGCACCATATCATAATTAAGGGATCTATCCAACAAGAATTTCTAACAATTGTAAATATTTATCCCCAATTTGGGACCCAAATATGTAAATCAAACAAACATAAACAAACTCACTGACAATAATACAATAATACTAGAGGACTTTAGTGCTCCCATTTAGAACAATGGACAGATCATCAGGCAGAAAATCAAAAATGAAACAATGGCTTTGAATGACACACTGGACCAGATGGACTTAACAGATATATTCATAACATTTCATCCTAAAGTAGCAGAATACACATTCTTTTCAAGTGCAGATAGAACATTCTCCAGAATAGATCACATACTGGGTCACAAATTAGGCCTCAACAAGTACAAAAAAGACTGAGATCATACCGTGCATAACAGACCACAATGCTATGAAATTTAGCGTCAAACCAGAAAAAATTTGGAAAGACCACAAATTCATGGAGGTGAAAGAACATCCTAATAAGAATGAATGGGTTAACCAGGAAATTAAAGAGAAAATAAAAAAGTACAAAGAAGCAAATGAAAATGAAAACACATAGCAGAGGCAGTCCTAAGAGGGAAGTATATTGTAATACATGCCTACCTCACCAAACAAGAAAAGTCTCAAATATACAACCTAACCTTACATCTAAAGGAGCTACAAAAGGAGCAAGAAATAAAGCCGAAAGCCAACAGAAGAGAAATAATAAAGATTAGAGCAGAAATAAACGATATAGAAACAAAAAAAAAACACAGAACAGATCAAAGAATTAAGAAAATTGATAAACCCCTAGCCAGACTTATCAAAAAAAGAGAAAGGAACAAAGAAAGAAAATCACAAATGAAAGAGGAGAGATCACAAGCAAAACCACAGAAATATAATTATAAGAGAATATTATGAAAAGTTATATGCCAATAAATGGGCAATCTGGAAGAAATGGAAAAATTCCTAGAAACATACAAACTACCAAAATTGAAACAGAAGAATTAGAAAATTTGAACAGACCCATAATCAGCAAGGAAATCAGTAATCAAAAATGTACCAACATCAAGGCATCAATCCCATTTGCAACTGCACCAAAAACCATAAGATCCCTAGGACTAAACCTAACCAAAGAGACAAATGTTCTGTACTCTGAAAACTATAGAACACTTATGAAAGAAATTGAAGAGGACACAAAGAAATGGAAAAACATTCCATGTTCATAGAGTGAAAGAACAAACATGGTTAAAATGTCTATACTACCCAAAACAACCTACACTTTTAATGCAATCCCTATCAAAATACCACAAGCATTTTTCACAGAGCCAGAACGATTATGGAACCACAAAAGACCTGGAATGGCCAAAACATCCCGGAAAAAGAAAAGCAAAGATGGAGACATCACAATTCTGGGCTTCAAGCTGTATTTTGAAGCTGTGATCACCAAGACAGTATGGTATTGGCACAAAAACAGACACATAGATCAATGGAATGGAATAGAGACTCCAGAAATGGACCCTCAACTCTATGGTCCACTAATCTTCAAAAAACCAGGAAAGAATATCCAATGGAAAAAAGACAGTCTCTTCAATAAATGGTGCTGGGGAAATTGGACAGCCATATGCAGAAGAATGAAACTGGACCATTCTCTTACACCATACACAAAGATAAACTCAAAATGGATGAAAGACCTCAATGTGAGACAGGAATCCATCAAAATCCTAGAGAAGAACAGAGGCAGCAACCTCCATGACCTTGGCTACAGCAACTTCTTGCTGGATACGTCTCCAAAGGCAAGGGAAACAAGCAAAAATGAACTACTGGGACTTCATCAAGATAAAAATTTCTGCACAGTAAAGGGAACACTCAGTAAAACTAAAAGGCAATGTACAGTATGGGAGAAGATTTTTGCAAAGGACATATCAGATAAAGCACTATTATCCAAAATCTAGAAAGAACTTATCAAACTCAACACCTAAAAAATAAATAATCCAGTTAAAAAATGGGCAAAAGACATGAACAGATATTTCTCCAAAGAAGACATACAGGTGGCTAATAGACACATGAAAAGATGCTCAGTATTACTCATCATCAGGGAAATACAAACCACAACCACGATGATATGCCACCTCACAACTGTCAGAATGGCTAAAATTAACAACACAGGAAACAACAGGTGTTGGCGAGGATGTGGAGCAAGGGGAACCCTCCTACGCTGTAGGTGGGAATGCAAAGTGGTGCATTCACCCTGGAAAACAGTATGGAGGTTCCTCAAAAAGTCAAAAATAGAACTCCCCTATGATCCAGCAATTGCACTACTAGGTATTTAACCAAAGGATACAAAAATACAGATTCAAAGAGGCACATGATCCTCGATGTTTATAGCAGCATTATCAACAAGAGCCAAACTATAGAAAGAGCCCAAAGCCCATCTACTGATGAATGGATAAAGATGTGGTGTGTGTGTATACACACACACACACACACACACAATGGAATATTACTCAGCTATCAAAAAGAATGAAATCTTGCCATTTGCAATGATGTAGATGGTGCTACAGCATATTATGCTAAGCGAAATAAGTCAGAGAAAGACAAATACCATTTGATTTCACTCATATGTGGAATTTAAGAAAGAAAACAGATGAACACAGAGGAAGGGAGAAAAAAAAAGAGAGAGGGAAGCAAACCGTAAGAGACTCTTACCTATAGAGAATAATCTGAGGGTTGATGGAGGGAGGTGGGTGGGGTATGGGCTAAATGGTTGATGGGTATTAAGGAGGGCACTTGTGATGAGCACTGGGTATTATATGTAAGTGATGAATCACTAAATTCTTCTTCTGAAACTAATGTTTTACTATATGTTAAGTAACAGGAATTTAAATAAAAACTTGAGAGTAAAAAAAAAACAATAACAACAAAAAACCCCACATAAATAGTTTAAGAACTCAAATATAAATATCAGGAATAATTCCATCATTCAAAAACATGCACAAAGATTTCTATGTAGTTAAAGAAATGTTTTACATGGCCAAAATCTTTTGGAATGAGAAGCTCATATATAATTTTGCTTTTTCTTATCAGAAAGATAAAAAAAAACATTTTAAAGCAAAAAATAAGATGAAGTTTAACGGTAATTGGACTAATGATTTCACAATCTGATTTTTACAAAAGAGCCCCATGTGTTTGTAAATTAAAAAAATTCATGAGTCAGAAAAGAAATCATAAGAGAAATTACAATTGAATGACAATAAAATACTACATATAAAAATCTGTGAAATTCTTTTAACATCATATGTAGTAGAAGATTTATAGTCATAAATTCTTATTTTAGAAAAGGAGCTTGACAGTCACTGGGCTAAAAGTCCAGAAGAAAAATTAGAAAAAGAGCAAACATAAAGCAAGTAAAGAAAATAATAAAGATTAAAACAAAAATTTTAAAAACAACATACTCAATGGTGAGGGTGATGAAACCAAAATCAGAAAATACATTAGAAATTGATTACTGTAATTTATCACATGGTCACACTCTCAAATTAATGGAGAAAAACTCCATATTCCTTCATAATTAAAATGTCTCAGCATACTAAGACTAGAAATGAATTTCCTTATCCTGAAGAAGCAAATCTAAAAATGGTGAAACATTTGTAGAATTCCCTTGTAAATTCAAAAGCAAGAGAAGAAAATCCTCTATCACTGTTACTGTTTCTCATTGTAGTGAAGATCCTAGCTGGCACAGTAAGACAAGCTAAAAAAAGAAATAGTGACAAGAAACTGCCATTATTCACAATATAATTAATATATAATCCCAGAAAATCTATAAATTATCAGAACAAACAGAATTCAGAAAGACTGTAGCATATAAAATCAGTATGTAAAAATATCAATCATGTTCCCATTTACCAGCAAAAAATCAGAAAATGGGTTTTAAACACATTTACACATTTCCCAGTAACAACAAAATCTATAAGGTAATTAGGAGTGAATCTAACAAAGCAGCTTATAAATTAATTATTATTATATGGTATATGTGGTTTCATATAATGTAGAAAATAAATTTCAATTTTACCATTTGGTGCTAGCTTTGTTTTTTGTTTGGCTATTTCTTTTTACAACTCTTATTCCTCTTCCTCCCTTAATAAGTGTTTTGGTAAATAAATTACCTTAAAACACAATTACCTGGTGCAGGACATCAGAAAAAGCAGGGCAGCGGTGTCAATAATCTTCATTGTCTTCACTAGATGAACCATTTTATGAATGCACCAAGGAAATGGAGTCATTCTGCAATCCCTCAAAGACTGAAAAATAATAAAATAAGGTAAAATGATTTCCTCTGTTATTGTCCATCTCTCTTCCCTGGCCTCCTAAGTCCTTATGATCTACCATGCTCCCGTTTCTATTATATATTCCTGTAAAACAGTTAAATGGATAGTATTAAAAGAGGTCTACTGCAAATTAAGAGCATAGATTCTGGAAGCACTTTAGAACAGGGTCTAGCACATAAAAAATGTTTAGTAAATATGTGCTATTATTACAATTTTCAATGATTTTAATCACTAGAGGAAATTATGTAGCTCTTGAACTTTTTGCCTTGCACAATCTCCTTTGTTTTCTATCTGAGCACCGCTATCCCTATGCCCTACCCCCTACCACCATTACCCTTTTGGACATTGAAATAAAGTTGAGGCAAATCAGAGTGTAAAGGAATGACTGGATGATGCTTTCAAGCAAAACCAGAGCTCATTCTTTTTCTATGCACTATCTCTAAGTCCCAAGTCCAGAGCCTACTTAGTTTCCACTGTTATCCTAGCATTTATTGACTTATTTATTCAAATATGTTTCACTCCTACTATGTACCAGGCACCATGCCTTGTCATCCATTCCCTACAGCTCCCAGCACAATGCCTAGTCCTTTGCAAGGGCTCCATAATGGTTTATTGCATGAATGAAGAAAGGATGCCCTGTTTCCTTGGATTACAAGAATCTGTGATGCTTGGGTCAGATTTGGTTTTCTTTTTTGCATTCTAGAAGGTCATCTAAATAGAAGGTTGTTCCTCTGATAGGAAAAACTGGACTCCTAAAATACATCACTTGATAGAAAATCTACCAATGGTTACCACCACCTTTGGATTAAACTACATACTCCTTAGCATAACGTTCAAGGCCCTGAAACACTCTATCGCACCTCCAAGTCTTTCTCCAAGATTCAGTTACACGCGAGCTTTTCACAGAAGAAGCCTGCTTTGGGGCTTTTGTCCTGGAAACACCAGGCCTGAAAAGCATTCTCTCCTTTCCACAAGACAGATGTCACTCACCCTTTAAGGCCCACCCAAAGTTCCCCTTTCCTTTTTGATGGGTCATGATTACAACCAGGAAAAAGGACTTTGTACATCTTGAGTGATCCCTGCATACCCTGAACAAGCACTTGGGTTTACACTTACCACAATGTAACTTTTTTCTTTCTTTCTTTCTTTCTTTTTTTTTTACTTACGAAATTTTCCTGCCACACACAGAGAAATACATTCCTGACGACTAACTTTAGAATACCCTCTGTCAGCACAGGAATTAGGCCTGTTAGCATAGGAATGAGGCCTTCCATATGTTATTGATCTTGAATCAATGACTCTTTTTAAATGGAAAAGTTTCAAATATACACAAAAGTGAGAACAGTATAATGAATCTCCACGTATACATTACCCAGTTATGATCAACTCATAAACATTTTGTTTGTAACCCCCACTTCGGCCCCACTGAATTACTTTTAAGCATATCAAAAGATTTAAATCTATTTCTTAAAAAATATAACCACAATTATCACAGCTAATATATTAAAAATAATTAACTAATGTCTATAAATATCCATAATTTCACCCAAACGTATTTTGTGAAAGAGCTATTTAATGCCCCCTTTTTTGTTTGTTTATTTTGTTTTTCAATTTTGAAATCGTGGAAAGAATAGAGAAAAGAGGAATGAGATCTGGGAAATTGCATAATTAAGTTGCAGAGAGCCTGGATGTTCAAGATGAGAAAGAAAGAATCTGACCTGGTTTGGGGTGGGATAAGTATATTCTACTACTTCTCCGGAGGAGGAGGGTGCGATTTCAGGCCCGGTGATGCAGGAGAAGGTGCGGAGGGAAGAGGGTTACTACCTCCGTTGGGGGTTCCTTCTGGATAATCCCACCGTGGAGCTAGGAGGCAGCGCTTTTTTGGAGGCCTGGTTTCCCGGGTATTTCCAGGTGGGAGCGTGGATCTCCCGGAGGCACAAGGTTGGTCGCCCATAAGGATTATAGGACTGGGCGTCAGCTTTCTCTAGTGGGCCCGACGAGGCCGAGACCTGAGATGGCGGCGGGTCCCTTCCAGGCACAGAGCTTCCTCCGGGTTTCGCGCTTACCGTATTTCCTGTATCCTGAAACGCATATCCCCTCTCCGTCTCCACCCTCCCCTCCTACTCCACCCTATTTTAATGTTTCTACAGAGGAGAGTCTTAAGAAGACGAAGCGTATATTTAATATTTAATGTTTTTTCTCTGCCCGTCCCCCCAAATGTAACTAAATCTATGTTCTGTCTTACACAATCTATGCAATTTTAAGATTAGAAGAAATTTAGGTTTACTCCTAAATGATAAACTCTGCATAGATTGTGGAAAAGCTCGGAGGGGCGGAGGGGAGGGGGAGGGAGGGAGGTGCGCAGGTGTGGGGGAGGGGGAGAACAAAGAAATTATTAAAAAGCTAAGGGGTTAACTATATAGAGTTGCCAATGAGCAACACAGAGCCAGGAGACTACCTAGGACCATTTAAAAAACAATATGCAAACGTATTAGTTGACTAAAGTGCGGAATACCACACTAGCATTGACCATGGTAATTGAATGTGGAAAATAGTCAGCGTATGTCATAGAATGTAATGTCACTTATTTGTTCGTATTTTAACAAATTAGAAATCTCTAAAGGCTTAATTTTTTAAATGTCTAATTTTTTAAATGTTTCAATATCATTCAAATTTCAGTTGATGAATCTCAATCTCAATTAATGGAATGTCATACTTTAATTGGCAATGTTTTTGTTCTCTTTTCCAGAGTTATGGAAAATAATAATTCATCTTACAATCTGGTGTATTATATTCTATGATATATGGTAAGTAACCAGAAGAGGGTGCAATGTGGCTTAGAAGAAAAGGCTACTGAACTTCTTAGACCTTCATCATTTATGTCTATCCCCCTGTGGCTATGTACAGACTAGACCATTTTACACCACTGTCCTCAGTGTTTTTTAATAGAGAGAGTTCAATCCTTAATGTCAAAATAGAACTGACTTTTAAAATACTCTGTTATTGGGCGCCTGGGTGGCTCAGTTGGTTAAGCGACTGCCTTCGGCTCAGGTCATGATCCTGGAGTCCCTGGATTGAGTCCCGCATCGGGCTCCCTGCTCGGCAGGGAGCCTGCTTCTCCCTCTGACCCTCCCCCCTCTCATGTGCTCTCTCTCTCTCTCTCTCTCATTCTCTCTGTCTCAAATAAATAAATAAAATCTTTAAAAAAAAAAAAAAAACCTCTGTTATTTATAAGCTCTGTGATATTTAAGTAGTCAATTAAACAGTTAAAGGTATAGTTTCCAGGAGATAATAATTTCTTCCTTTTAAAACTATTGCCATAATCAGGGATCATGTATTTAAAGTACTTATTAACCATGATTGCCTCTCATCTTCACCATCACTACCTTCCTCTAAGTACCAGTGCTGCCCTTTACACAAACTAGATACTAAATAAATGTTTAGGAAATAAATGACCCTGTGGTTTTCTACCAAATGCTACTAAAAAAGAAAAATATTGTAGCAGTGGGTTAATGAAAACATGTGAGGGGAAATCAAGAGAAGCAATGCTTTAGATTTAGAAAAGCAGTTGGGACTAGACATAACATATGGGAATCACCAACATAGATCTGGTAGTTGAAGTCATGAAGATGGATGTATCCTCAAGAGAAAATATAGAGAAAAGGGAAGTGGGCTAAAGACAGAATATTGAGTAGTTAGAGACAGAAGAAGAGTAGTCTACTGCAAAGCCTGAGAAAGAGTAGCCAAAGTCAGAGGAGAGGACTCTAACCTAGTGTTTCTCACTCTTGGCACTACTGACATTTGAGGCCAGACTCCTCTTTGTGGTAGGGGCCTGCCCTGTGCATTGTAGAATGTTTAGCAGTATCCCAACATAGGGCAGTAGCACTTCCTCACCAGCTGTAAAACCAAAAATGTCTCCAGACACTGCCAAATGTCCCCTGGGAGGCAAAATCATCCCCACTGAGAACCATCGGTCTATCCCTAATCCTACAAGCTTGCTCCTTTCCTAGTCTTCTTTATTTCAGTGAATGTCATCCCTTCTACCCAGTTGTACAAGTCAAACCTTATTACAATTTTTTATACCACAGAATATTTCATTATTTTCCAAAGTAAATGAAGTAACATTTTTGCAGTCTTTTCAGATGAGTCTCTCAATCTGTGAAACTAAAGACTTTAAAAGTTGAAATTAAGTTGTTTTATAGCCACTGTTTTAGTAAATTAAGATAAATATTGCCTATTTTAGTAAAATAACAGGAATTAAAAATTATATCAAATCCAGATATGTTATATTTATGGTAAACATCTGACTTGTGAAAACAGTCCCAACTTAAAGCTGCTGCCATCAACCTGGACTATTTATATCTCAACTGGATTTATTTATTTTTATTTTTAATTGTGGTAAAATACACATAAAATTTTCCATCTTAATCATTTTTAAGTGTACAGTTTAGTAGTTGAGTATATTCACAGTGTTGTACTACCAATCTCCAGAATTTTTTCATACTCATTTAACAATGCCTTCCATTTTCCCCCCTCTCTCAGTCCTTGGTAACCACCATTATACTCCCAACTGGATTTTGTTTGTTTATTTTTGTTATACTAAAATGGAAAACTAAAGCCTTTTACAGCTAGGGCTCAAAATGATTTTCCCCATCACCTTTTCCAAGTTAAACTTTTTTTTTTTTTTAACATTGATGAAATACATGAACATGAATCAGTAAACCAGAAGAGGGCACTGTTAGGCTGAAGAGCTATCAAACCAGATTTTGTAAATTTTATTTTTTTATGTTATGTTAGTCACCATACAGTACATCATTAGTTTTCGATGTAGTGTTCCATGATTCGTTGTTTTTGTGTAACATCCAGTGCTCCATGCAGTACGTGCCCTCCTTAATACCCATCACCGGGCTAACCCATCCCCCCACCCCTCTCCCCTCTAAAACCCTCAGTTTGTTTCCTGAAGTCCATAGTCTCTCATGGTTCATCTCCCCCTCCGATTCCCCCCTTCATTTTTCCCTTCCTTCTCCTAATGTCCTCCATGCTATTCCTTATGTTCCACAAACAAGTGAAACCACATGATAATTGACTTTCTCTGCTTGGCTTATTTCACTTAGCATAATCTCTTCGGTTCCATCCATGTTGATGTAAAATTTGGGTATTCATCTTTTCTGATGGCTGAGTAATATTCCATTGTATATATGAACCACATCTTCTTTATCCATTCATCTGTTGAAGGGCATCTTGGCTCTTTCCACAGTTCGGCTATTGTGGACATGGCTGCTATGAACATTGGGGTGTATATGGCCCTTCTTTTCACTACATCTGTGTCTTTGGGGTAAATACCCAGTAGTGCAATTGCTGGGTCATAGGGTAGCTCTATTTTTAATTTTTTGAGGCACCTCCACACTGTTTTCCAAAGTGGATGTACCAACTTGCATTCCCACTAACAGTGTAAGAGGGTTCCCCTTTCTCCACAACCTCTCCAACATTTGTTGTTTCTTTCCCTGTCCATTTTTGCCATTCTAACTGGTGTAAGGTGGTATCTCAATGTGGTTTTGATTTGCATTTCCCTGATGGCTAATGATGATGAACATTTTTTCATGTGTCTGTTAGCCATTTGTATGTCTTCTTTGGTGAAGTGTCTGTTCATGTCTTGTGCCCATTTTATGACTTGATTATTTGTTTTTTGGGTGTTGAGTTTCAGAAGTTCTTTATAGATCTTGGATATCAGCCAAAGCTTTGTCTGTAATGTCATTTGCAAAAATCTTCTTCCATTCCGTGTGTTGCCTCTCAAACCAGATTTGAGAAGTGTTATAGATCTGAATTTCTTTCATAATTTAAAGTGCTCAAAAGTTGACAACAGAGGGGAAATGACAGTCTCTTCTATAAATGGTGTTGGGAAAACTGGATAGCTATGTGAAAAATAATGAAACTGGATCACTGTTTTACACCATACACAAAAATTTACTCAAAACAGATTAAAGACTGGAATGTAAGACCATAAACCATAAAACTCATAGAAGAAAACATAGGCAGTAAGCTCCTTGACATCAGTCTTGGCGATATGTTTGTTGTTGTTGTTGTTTTTTTAATCTGGCTCCAAAGGCAATGGCAACAAAAGCAAAAACAAACAAATGGGACTACAAACTAAGAAGCTTCTGCATAATGAAGGAAACCATCAACAAAATAAAAAGGTAATGTACTCAGTGGAAGAAAATATTTGCAAATTGTGTATCTGATAAGGGGCCAATATCCATAATATATAAAGAACTTATACAACTCAATAGAAAAAAAAATCTGATTAAAAAATAGGCAGAGGATCCTAATAGACATTTTCTCCAAGAGGATATGCACATGGCCAATAGTTTCATGAAAAGATTATCAACATCACTCATTATCAGGGAAATGTAAATCAAAACCACAATGAGATATCCCCTCACACCTGTTAGAATAGCTATTATCAAAAAGACAAGAAATAAGTGTTGGTGAGAATGTGGAGAAAAGATAACCCTTGTGCACTGTTGGTGGGAATGTAAATTGGTGCAACCACTATGGAAAACGGTATGGAAGTTCCTGAAAAAATTAAAAATAGAACTACCATATGATCCAGCAATTCCACTTATGGATATTTATCCAAAGGAAAAAAAAATAACTCAAAAAGATATATGCATCCCCATGTTAATTGATAGATGCATGTATAAAGAAGATGTGGTATACACACACACACACACAAACACATATGCACACAATGCAATACGACTCAACCATGAGAAACCATGAAGTATTGCTATTTGTGACAATATGGATGGACCTATAGTGTATTATGTTAAATGAAGTAAGACAGAGAAAAACAAATACCATATGATTTCACTTACATGTGGAGTCAAAAAAACAAAGCAAATGAAGAAGCAAAGCAAAACAAAACTCATAGATACAGAGAATAGATTGGTGGTTGCCAAAAGGGAGAAGGTTTGGGAGGTGGGTAAAATGGGCAAAGGGGATCAAGAGGTACAAATGTTCAGTTATAAAATAAATATGTCATA